GTTGTGCCAAGCGGAGCAACTGATGCAGTAGCAACAAGCAGCCACTTTATGGACTTTATTGTGAGAAGTAGGTTCAAGAAAATGAACTAAAAAGGAAAAAAATAGATCAATAAATAGAAAAAGTGTGAAAAGTCTTAAAGAGGAGAGATAAGTGATTCTCCCAAATTAGAATCATAGAATGGCCTGGGTTGGAGGGGATCTTGAAGATTATCTGTTTTTCAACCCCCTGCCATGGTCAGGGGCACCTCCCACTAGACCAGGTTAGTCAGAGCTCCATCCAGCATGGCCTTGAACACTTCCAGGGATGGGACCTGTGCCAATGCCTCATCATCTTCACTGTAGAGGATTTCTTCCTAATATCTAATCTAAACCTACTCTGTGAGTGTGAATCCATTCCCCCTTGTCCTGTCACTCCAGGATAGCCTCTCTCCGTCTTTGCTGTCGGGCCCCTTCAGGTACTGAATGGCACAATTAGGTCACCCTGAGGCTTTCTCTTCTGAAGGCTGAACAATCCCAATTCTCTCAAGATATAGGGAAACAGAGTCCAAAAGGCTTGCAAGTTGGTGAGAATTGGACTCAGCTGTCAGTGAAGTTGCTCAAGTTATTGCAGTATGGAGCTTTGGACACTAGTGTTCAATCAGAGGCATGCAGTATTAAATCGCTAATTTGTGCAATATTTAGCAGTACCTTTATTTGAACCTAAACTCTTCAATTATTGATAATTAGTAAATTTCAAGTTCTTTATTCAGTTGGAAGAAACTGAAGGGCAATTCATGCAGGTAGGACCATATATTCCATAGCTAAATGTTTTTCTTTTATTTGGATTATTAATATGAATAGAATGTTAACCCTAATAACCCAATCTACCCCACTATAACTGTCTATATATACCATAAACCACCAAAAATGTTTGTAAAGTGAAGTAAGAACATAAGTCTAATTTGTCATGTTGGCATAGGCAAACTATTCCAAATAATGTACTTTATGACATAGAGCTCTGTTTTTACTTTTTATTTTTAGAACAGTAATAATGTATTCACTATTTAAGATTGCTCTCTGCTTGTTATGCAAAATGAGGGTAATCTCTGCTTTGTGGCTTTAAAATCTGAATAAATGTCAAATTGGAAATGCATAAAAAGCCCCATGTGACTAAATGACAAAAATGGGTGTTGTGAAGTGCTAGTACAAATATAACTTTTTAAAGTCATACAAGATAATGTTTTAGCTAAATGCCAGTACCCAAAGGTATTTTTTAGGAGCTCTGTAGGAATGCATACCTTTCTTTTTCCTTATCAAGAGTTGCTTTTCAAGCTCTCCTAGTAAGATATATTTAGTTTTTGGGTTTCTTCCTTCTGTCCTGTCTTCCCTCTGTCCTTCCAAGCTTAACCTATGCCATTTCAGTGGGAAACTCTGTGTTCATGGTATTATGAACTTTACATTTTCATGCCAGGTTGTATAAAGGTGTTCCAAAAAAGCACAGTTCTTGTGGACAATATTTTGCCTTTTTTTGATCTCAGTGCTGGAAACAAATTCAAAATTGGTTGTCAAAGAGAACCAAATGGTTTCTTCAGTCTGTTGGTGAAACAGCTGGTTTTAGTGCCCTGTGCTTACAGAATTTGCAAGAATCCATCAGAGAGCCCATCTGAAGCTTTCTGCAGCAGCTTGATTGGGTCATCTTTTCTCTGGACTCAGAAGTAGTGTTTTCCTACTCTCAGTATTATTGGTGTCAGTAACTTTATTAATTTTGGACTCTGCTAGTGGCTGTTAGTGACCTGTGTTGCATGGCCAGGGAACATTTATAGATTTAATATGCTGTCGAGTTTATATTCTTACAGCATAAATGCAGCATCCCAGTTCTTGAATGGTAAGATTTAATCCTTTACTCAGCCAACCTAAATTCTGCCAATGTTTGCTAATATTAGACTTCGGGGGGGGGGAGGGATAAAGCAGAGTGTTTTAAGGTAAAGGAAGGCAACTTACGTTCAAAAATTGTGTTTGGACTCGATGTAAGTAAACATTGCTCAGAAAAATGAATGCTTTAGTTTCTTACAGTATAGAAACTACAGCTATGCCTAGTTCTCTCTGGTGTGACTGAAAATGCATCATAATCACCTAAAGCCACAATAAGTCTGTTGCCATTCAGCATTCTTGATGTGAATGCCTTAAACTGACACTGGATTTCTGTTCTTGTTTATTCTTACTTACTTTCACTATCTTCTTTGACCCCCAAAATTGACATAATACGAGACAGTATTCTGAAAATCGTTGATTTTTATGGTATTTTGAATTGGTGTAAATTAGCTTAGCTTGGTCAAGTTTCCATTTAAACCATTTGAATGGTTTTAAAATCCTGGGAATAAAAACACAAACCCACCTTGTAGAGAGTTTTTCTTTCATAAGTTTTGCAAATTGTGAAGGTGTTTGATCAAGGATGGTAGATGTGAAGTATCCACCTTTTAGGTCTATCCTGTTTTCTTGCAGTGGGTGTCCTGACACCTTTGTACATCTGAAGCCAAGTGGGTAAGAGGTGAGGTGCTGCTCCATGCAGTGTGTTTGGAAAGCAAATATATTTGGAGCTTTAGGCTGGGGCCAGTGAGTGGCACTCAGGCCAGGGAAAGTCTTTGCTGCATCTCTCAGTAGCTGCAGAAGAGCAACTTCTGCCTCATGGGCCACTTGCCTTGGGTGCAGGGAGCCTGGGCAGAAGGTGGCTCAGCAAACTGGAAATTGTTTTGACTCTCTCCTGTCTGGGCTTCAGAGTGGTTGGGCTTGGCTGAGCTCGTTTTTATCTCCTTACCTCAGGAAGAGCTGCAGGTTCCTCACTGAGGTACTTTGGGCACAAAAAAAAAAAAAAAATAGGGTTTAGGCACTTGATTACGCTTACACTGGAAATGATCTTTTTTTACTGAAGGTGAAGCTTCCTTAAGTTGATTTAGCTTAGTATAGGAGAGCTACAGCATGACACTGTCCTGTTGGCATTAGTGGTGTTGGCAGCAGATGAACTAAGGGTTCTGTTGCATCTCAAAACAACCATGCACAGTGTAACCTCTTCTGGAGAGAAGTTCAATAACTAAACATCTTGCATAAGAATTTTTGAATAGTGCAAGGCTGAAGAAGAAAAGAGCAAATTGGACAATCCTCCTAATTACTCTCAGCAGATTACACAAATAGATTTGTTCAGGTCAGTCGGAAAGCGTAGCTGTGTTCAGGTTAGAGTTCTGAATTAAAGGAACAGAATTTTAGTGGAAAAGTTGTGGATTGAATGCCAGGCAAAAATGTTAAACTTGAGTACAGTTTTCTATGCATAATTTGTCTATTTGTATTATGACATTGGCCTGCTCAGCTGCTTGGCACTTTGATGGCATTTAGATTAGTTATGGAGGGAATTCAGCCTTTGGACATTATATTTCAGCAGCTGGTTTATTTTGTACATAAAACATTGCTATGTTTTGCTTGATGAAGAGCCCACCAGTGGAATGCTGTTACATCATGAGACATAACTTCAATTAGTATCAGCTTCTAGACTGACACTTGAATTAAATATTAACATTTTCTGTGCTTTATGTAAGTAAACAAAGGACTCTGTTTTAATCTCCCTTCTCTGCAAGTATGGATAAAAGGAGAACATGTATTTTGAACAGCAAAACAGAAAAAAAAATTGACCACTCAGTTATTTGCCTTGATTCAGCATGGTTAGGAAAGGTCTTTTTTTTGGCTGATACTTTTTGATACTTTTTAAATATAAAATATAAATATAAAAAAATTGTGACAATTTTAGTCTCTTCGTTTTATTGGGGATGCTGTATTCTGTGGGGTATGGGAAAAGGTTAGACTCTGTACAGGCTATTTCACAAGGAGAGTTGGGAACATGGCAGTTTTTAACAACCTTTTTTTCCCTACCAATAATTTTCTAAGTTACGGAATAAATGCAGAATCTCTTCACAATTTACATTTCACTTATTTGGCACTGTGCGGTTGAAAACCTATTAAACCTGTTGTGATCTGTGACTTAAGTCTTTACATGGGTAGGACAAATTCTGGGATCAAAGTCTATTGCTGGGGTAAGCAAACTCTGCCTTTCCAAAACAAATAGCCAAGATATGTGATGGGCTGGGAGCAGAGTTAGTTATAGATTGTAAAACCCAGAAGGTACAAATAGGAAGACAAAGCTTTCCTGTGCTTCTCTGATGAGCATGTTTAAGGTGCTTCAGACCTTTCCTACTACCCTGTCTTCATCAAAACGCTCTTCTGTAATGAAGTGATTTTTAGTTATGATGCTTTTTGTCCGTACAGAAAAGCAGTGATGCAGCTCTGTGAGTCCTGAGGCCTCCAGTTCTCAGCCAGTGCTTTGGACTTTTATTTTTTGCAACCCAGTGTTGTCTTCTTGTACTGTTTTGGTCCCAGGCTCTGTGTTTCACTGTGGAGTTCTTTGTGGGTGTGCCTGTTGACACCTGTTTTCATGTCTTAGTGTCCATCAAATGGGAATGTTACCAGTCCCTCACCTGCAGACATGCATAACCCAATTTCCTCACTCAAATGTACACCCCTCAGATCATATAGGAATAGGAGGAAAGGAGAGAATGCAAGAAGTTCAGGTAATTGCAAGCAGAATCAAGTTGCATATGCAGAGATGTGCTCTCTGTGCACTGAGGAATGGATGACAGAGGGCCTACAAGATGAATTTTAGATGGCTAAACAGTGTTTCATGCTAATTTGAAAACTGACAGCTATACAATTAAAAACATTCCTGTTGTAAAATGTAATTTGCCTATCATGTAAAATGACTGTTCTTTTTATGTGATTAAGTGCAGAGATATTTTTTTTATTATGCTGTTTTCTTGGCATTTTTCTGGTGAAAATATGCTTAGCAATAATCTGCCTTCTGAAATAAAACTTAACGTTGCATATGTTTAACACTTCATTTATTTTGCTAAGGCTTATTTGGAAGATTTTTGTATTGTTTGTAGTAGTGCTTAAAGGTTTTCTTAATCTTTTCTTTTCAGTCATTATTTAACCTACTGGAGTTTCGAAGACTAGTTTTGAATTTCAATCCTCCTGCAAATGCTCAAGATTTGCCCCGAAACCAAAAGGTAAAATGAGAAGCTGACTTCCCCTCGTGGCTAATGAGGACATTTCTCTCTTGTGCTTGAGTTTTGCACTGTTCTCTAGCTCAAAGCAGAGTGGCTTTTAGAGGTGCCAGTTAATGGCTCTCTGAGCTTCCTGTGGTGGATCTTTCATAAATGGCATCAGCCTCACAGCAGAGTACAGGGCAGGGTGCTGAGAGGGGCAGAGCATTTCTTATGTGAGTGTAGCTTATCTTAGCAAATGTGTTTTATTCCAGTTCCCTCCCAGTCATGATCTGAGATTGAGCTTTTGGTTATTAGCTTGTCTCTTGTGACCTTTTTAGGAGGTGATTATGAGTACAAATTTTCTTATGTTTATCTTGGTGCTTATATAGGACTGGGGAGGGGAGGACTTTGGCTCAGGTTTTTTGTGATTTCAGACTGGCAAAGGGGAATGGGCATGGAGTGAGGGATAAAACAGACCAGTTTTTCTTTCCTTCATGGGCATCCTTTGAGGAGAGGTGCATGGGGGGAACCCTTGGTTTCTATGCTATGAAATGGAAAGGAAGAAATGGGAAAAGGAAGGGGATGTATGAAGTGTGAAGACATTTGGTAGCCTGATTTTTACCAGGGGCTTACAGAGCTATGAATTTTTGCTTATCCAGAGATTAGAATCATAGAATGGGTTAGGTTGAAAGGAGCCTTAAAGATGAAGTAGTTCCACCCCCTGTGCCATGGACAGGGGCATTGTCTGCTAGACAGGTTGTTCAGGGCTCCATCCAACCTGGCCTTGAACACTTCCAGGGATGGAGCAGCCACAGCTTCCCTGGGCAACCTGTGCCAGTGCCTCACCACCCTCATAGTAAATTAGACTATTGCCTGTTGCCCCTTTCTATCAGATTTAAAGAAGAAAATGTGTTGTCAGCCTGTTTGTAGTTGTTTTCCCCTTCAGGCTTGTCTGGAATGTTCAGAAGCAAAAGTAAGAGCTGTAATTAGAGAAGCAAAAGAAAACAGACCAAGAGAAGACAGTATCCATTTTGTAAACCTCTGGGTTCAGTCAGGACTGGGTGATTTCTTCCTTGCCCTCCTTTCTTTTCCCATCACGTTCAAAGAGCAAGAAGTCACTTCTTTTTTGGTAGGAAAGCATATTTGCATTAGGTCATGAGATGGTGTGAAAATAAAACATTGGGTAATGTTCCCTACACAAGGTGGGGATGGGGCAGTGTATTATATAGTAAGTCATACACTAAAACTTCTTTATTTTTAGATTGCCTTTCTGTCTGTATTTAAGCCTTCATCATATAATTTGTTTTAGTAATATCCTCCAGTACTCAGAAATTCTGTGTTCATTTTTTAGTGTATAAAAAGCAATTTGCATCTAAAAGGTGGTGTGAAACAGCTAATAACAAGGTCTTGTCTTCAAAAATATCTTGCCCAAGCATTGACACTTGCAGCCAAATGCCTTCAGCAGTTCCAAAGTGCTGTGTTTTAGAAATTCTGATCGTGACAGACAATATTAAGTTTGTGTGAAATGGTGACACCAGGCAAGTGCATGGATTTGTGCAGAAACCATGCTTTCTGCAGCGCTGCTGGAAAGAATCTCTGGCAGTAGTTTGTGTCCTCCCCTTTGTTAACTTACATTCCAGAATGAAGTAACATTACTTGGTGTACTCATCTGTCTTATCTCCAGCTGAAAAAGGATTGGGAAGAATTTAGGATAAGGGATCATTTCACTAGTTCGTATTTAGACAGATAGAAGACATAAGCATGTATGCTCCCAAATTTGGTGCCTCTTTCTTTGTAAGTGAAGCAATTAGAGGCAAATTGATTTCAAGTTGTACTATAAGTTACCAGTTGACAACCGAAAAGAAAGTAAAACCCTGGAATTTACTTTCTACTGCTTACTTATTTTAAAACTATTTTGCCTGAGTTTTAGTTTTATTTTTATTGTAATTTTAGTGACCATATGTGACTGACATTCTCCAGGGTCAAATTTCTTTGCTAATAAAGGACATGTTTTAATAATCCCACATTTTGAATACTTGGGTTTACATCCTGTTGTTCTTCCAGTTGGTGGGAATTAGAGTTTAATGCTGGGGTCATGACAATTTCTTGATTTAGAATTAAAGCATGTGGTTGTACTTCAGGGAATATTGCAGAACAGGGTGTTTGTTCTTTCCCATCAATATAGTGAATTGAAATAATTTGAATAATTTAAAACTATGAATAATTTGGCATGTAAACTTCTTAACCAGAAGTCATTGGTATAAATTTTTACTTCAAAAAAGCCCCAAACAAACAACAGCTCCACCCTATTTGTCTCAGCTAATTGAGCTTTGATTTTCTGGATTTGGGTATGAACTCAAAATCTTCAATTTGGTCTTACTCTTTTTAATTTGAAAATAATTTGTTTTCCTTGGTTTCCTTCTGTAGAAATGCTTTTCTCTGTAGTTATTGCAGCTTCTTCGCTGTCCCAGCTCCTTACTCTTGCTGTTACATGAACAGATCTTTTTGCTGTACACAGTGAGATCAGCTAAATATTAGCTTCAGGAAATATTTTATTACCAGAGGAAAGGGGTTAACTGTGCTACAGGTAAACACTTCCTTCCACCATTTTTGATATTATTGTAATATTATCATTATCTCACTCTCCTGGCAAACTTGGCAATTATGAATGTTTGCTATCTTTTAAACATAGAGAACTGCTTTAAAAGCATTTATAATAATAAGGTTTTCCAACATGTATTAAGAAATTATTTATGCAGACAGGATAGGTGATAAAATAGAGGATGCTTTAGATTATGAAATTGCCATACAGTGTTCCAAACTGATTTTAATTTTTTTTTTTTTCTGTTGGTGCATGTATAAGGTGCTTTAGAGGTGAGAGCTATATGCTGTGCTGTGATCACTTTATCAGTTCTTAACTCACAAGTCCTGTTGTGGAACTCAGTACCTTACCTTGGGGACTGGCCCACCTAATTTTGACGATTTTAGGTTTTTTTTCTGGTCAAGGATCATTACTAATGCATTAAATCAAGCTTTTTCAAAAAGCAGAAAGGATTTTCCTAGTTTTAGAGAACTTTGGTAGCCTTTGTAGAAATTTGTTCTGAGTAATCCTACTGACATTGATAGCCAGTTGTTCAAGCTAAGGCTACAAGTATGGCTGGAAGCCAAATTAGTAGAATAAATTTGCGTAATGCAGTAATGTACTATGTACATTATAATAGTGCCTGTGTACTCCAGATTTGACAAAAAGAAGATAAGGTCTAGACTATTCTGTGGTTAATAATTTATACATAAAAGTTATCACTGGTATCACTTGATAAAATGTACCTAAAATTTGAAATTCCATTCATTTTAATAGTTGCTTTACAACTTTGGCCATTGTTTTCTTCTTTTGTTGTAATACAGTGCTTAAGTATCTAAATGGGAGACTGCTTTTGTTCTTAAATTAGGGTGATTTAATGGTGAATTAGGGTGGCACTTGAGTTCTATGAGCAATGTTTATAAATGGCAGGTGTTTTGCAAGGTGGGCTAGAAGAACAAGTTTAATTCAGAGATTTATGTAACTAGAAGTATTTTCTAGATATTATGTGGAACACACTCGATTCACTGGGCAGTTTTTAAAGCTGAGGTAAACCAGACTTTATGTACAAAAAGCTTTATGCCTGCTGGATAGGCACAGGAGTGACTAAACAAGTCTGCTGGTTGATGAACATGTGAAATAGTTTGTAATCAAGTAATTCCAGTTTGACCACCATCAGCCATCTCTACTGCCTCTGGATGATACTTCGTTCTAACTACAAGTGACTATTACATGGGGTTTAATTTCACAAGTATTTGCCAGCTATCTATTCAGGAGTACCAGTGATACCAATCTCCACAGCATTGGTAACCTGTGATTTAATCTATGGTACTTCTGTTCCAGTTTATTTGTTTTGGATTGTACAGGCAGAAAGTATTCCTTCCCTTATGGAAACCAGAAAAGAATGCCATAGTCAAATGAACTGTACTTCAAAAATGAGTAGAAAGGAGAGCAGGCTATTTTACTTCTGTCAAGAAGGATAATAAAGGTTAACGTAGGTCTTAGAAATTTAGTCTTCAGTAAGAAATAAGCTTTAAAAGGGTGCTGAATAGTGTGTAGGCTCGCAATAAATTCTGTTAGAGGTGTAGAGGAGTACTAATTCCAAGCAAATAATGCATATTGTTGCAGTGTGTTACTGAAGGCTTTGTAAGTCTTGAGAGAAATGTTTCTGTCCTAAAAGCAACTCTATTTGTTAATTCAGTTGTCAATTCAGGCCCATTTCAAGACCAACAGCATCATCTAGATACGATTGCAGGGAGCTTTTATTTTCTGAAATGTGATTTTCTTCCCAGAGAACTGCATTATTTTATCAAACTGACTGACAAGTAAAAGAAACTGCAGCCCTACCTTGGTAGTAACCTTATATATGATTATGACGTTATACACTCAGTTTATTGGGTAATGCTTCTGTACAGATTTCTGTTACCACTTTGTTAAATATTTTTATTTATAATATACAGGAACATAGGAATCTGCCTTTCATGCGTGAATTGAGGTACCTGTTTGCACTTCTAGTTGGTTCAAAGAGAAAATATGTTGATCCATCAAGAGCAGTTGAAATCCTYAAAGATGCTTTTAAATCAAATGATTCCCAGCAGGTAATTTCCATGTATTTTTCAATCAAGTTTGTGCATGTTTTAATATGGTCATATTGTATGGGGAATACTTGCAGTGGACAACAGAATTTCAAAATGTCCACAGAAAAGCAACTTCTAATTATCAGTCTTTGAGCTTTCCCTATAATGCTATGTGATTTTCTAGTTATTTTAATAGAAAGTTAAAAAAAAAAATCCAGACAACATGACTATTTTGTTCAATGCACTTTCTTCCTCTTATTTTAGAAATGAACTAATAATTCAGTTTCGCTTTAGAATTTAGTTTAGCTTCTAAGTCTGGGGGTTTTTGAAGGAGAAGTACTCTTCTGATCTAACAGTATATCCATTATACTGCCTGTTTAGGTATTGGTTTGGAGGATCTGAATGTTCATATTCAGGATTATTATCCAAATTATAATGTGCGTATTCTGCTTTTTTTTTTGAGAAACATTTTGTTTCTTCACATTATTTGTTTTCCCCCATGAGGTTATGTGGCTGAGGTGTTTAATTACAGCAGCACACCAAATTTAGTGCTTGATGAAAGTAATATTAGTCACCACTTGTTAGATACCAAAGGGTTTGAACAATGGGATTCATGAGATGCCTTTGGACTAGCATGGTGTGAAAGCTGAGCCCAAGTAACAAGGATCACAGGACAGTGTCACTGCTGAGGAACACCAGAGCCACTCATAAAAAAAACAATCATGGCATGGTCTTAGACATAGTGTGATTTTGGAACACTGGTGAAGGGGAAGGGAATTCTGCTAAACTGATCTTGTAAGGTGACACTTCATTGTGTTGTTATATATCTGAACTAATCATGTTATATTTTTTAACAGCAAGATGTTAGTGAATTTACACACAAATTGTTAGATTGGCTAGAAGATGCCTTCCAAATTAAAGCTGAAGAAGAGAGGTAAGATTTTTCTTTTTTTTTTTTGTAGCTCTGCATGTTGAACATTTGGATGAGAGAAAACATAACAAATGACTAAAAATCTACTTTTCTGGCTGAAAAAATTCTGATTTAGTAGCTTGTTTTAGTTCAAGTGTGGGTTCTTTTCATACATATCAGTACCTTTGGTTTCTTGACATGTGCTGTCTTTTTTTTCACCCTCATATTTCATGTTAGAAATCTAGCTCAGTGAAGTCCGAAGTATATAGAGTGGAGATGTATGCAGTTAAGTTTTTCTTATTTGAATACAATTTTGCTTTTCAATCCTGTAGTTGAAATACTTCAAAACCTTGCTCCTCTCTCTTCTATCAGAAGTAAATACTCATCATTTAAGTGAGCGTCTCTAAACCGTCTTTTGAATACTTTTTTTTTTCTGGGGTGTTGCAGAAATAGTTTTTACAAGGATTTTGTATAATTTACCCACTCATGAATTGAATCTGGGATACACAGATTTTCCTAGAATGAAGCATATAATTTTCAGAATATATTTTTCCTTGCAAATATCTGAATCACAGTTATTAGGGAAAGTACAAAAATAAATTAACAGTAAAATGGACAGCATTTCTAGAATGAATTCAGAATAGCCTACTCAAAATTTTATAAATAAAAATTCATAGCTTTGCGTTGGATTTTTTTTTTTGCACTAACATGCTTCCTGTTTTTTAGGGATGGAGAGAAACCAAAGAACCCAATGGTGGAGTTGTTTTATGGACGATTTCTAGCAGTAGGTGTACTTGAAGGTATGCATTAGAATTAACTTGACCTCTGTAGTTGTGTCTTTGTTCAGTGCTTTTCCAAGCACACATGTGACCGATGCAGTTGTAAGATTTTAGCTGCTTCTGCAGAAGCAGATGGGGAGAACACACATGTATGCATTTGTCTGTGACAAATGGTTTGTCAGGTATGAGACTGAAGAGAAATATAGCAAGCTGTAGGGATCAGAAAGAGTGCTGCACTGAGAACATACACTCAGCTCCTGGAGGTTATAAAAACAGAAGTTGGGGTGAAATGCTGAGGGAAAATACTTCAGAGAAATTATCGGGGCATTGTTACCGCTTACTGTTGGTGACACATGGCAAGATACTGTATTTCATTGCACTATTCTCTCATGCTCTCTCTGATTTATTTAATGCAATTTAAAATTTCAGTTACTGCATTTGCTTCTGCACAATTTCTCATATGGAAAACTGACCCTCCTAAAAGTACAGTTTGTTAGAAAACAAGTCAGTGGAACCCTGCTCAAGGGCAGTGTCAGAGAGACCGCGAAGGAGGAAGTGACTGTACAACAAGCTTCCCTTTGTGTAAAAATAGATCTGCAGAACTGTACTGTTCTCTATTTCCAAGAGGCTATGAAAGTGTTTTTTAATACTTTCATAATGAAGTTTTAATGTTGGTGGTTCTGCCCCTCATCCAAAGGATTGACTTTAGTATTTGCATGAAGCAGGTATAGTCTTTTAAGTGGCGTCCAGGTTGTCCCATGAACTTGAACATGTTTCTAATGAGTTGTCAGATTTCAGAAACCATTCTGCAGATTTCCTGCTACTAGCTAACATTCTTGCTCCTTTACATTTAGCTACTTTCATCCCATACGTTCTCAATTTAACACAGGAGATGTGTAAAAATCAAACGGAAAGAAACTAGCAGGTGCAAGACTTGTTGCTGACTTTAGGTTAAAATACATTGAAATTCTAGGTTGAAATCACTTGTCCCCCATATTTCTCCTCATGTTTGCTCTTATATCTTTATATGCTATTTCCAAATGATAATATTTTTTATCAGGACAGAACATGAATGCTCTCTTTTGTGGTTTGTTTTTGCAAAATGTACTTATACAAAAGGCTCTTTCATACCAGCAATTCCACTGACTTTGCTGATACAATACACGTTTTTATTATTAAGCTTCTGTTTGCAGATGGGGAACTTCGATTTATATGTGTAAAACTTCCCATATGTCTCTGGTGCCAAGCCATTTTGAGTTTTGCTTATTACCATCAGATACTAAAATGATATAGTAAAGGGTCTGAAGAGAAAAGTAAAGTAATTTTCAATTTGTGTAATGCAACATTTTTGAATAAATTGTACGTGTAATTAAATTGTTCAATAAAAAAATGAGATACTGTTCAGCAGACTAGGTCAACTGATCTAGACTTGATAGGGTTTTTTCCAAGGTAAATTCAAGATTTGTTTTTAAAACATTAACTTAAATTTTTCATGTGCAGGTAAAAAATTTGAAAACACAGAAATGTTTGGCCAGTATCCATTACAGGTTAATGGCTTTAAAGATCTGCATGAGTGCCTAGAAGCTGCAATGATTGAAGGGGAAATTGAATCTCTCCATTCAGAAAATTCTGCAAAGTCTGGTCAGGAGGTGAGTTAAGTGCTCCTGTGGACTTCCCTTGGGATGTTTTTGTAGTGCCCTTTAATTTCATTGGGTTTCATGTCTGGTTTTATGTTCAGTCACCTGCTGTGCCATGGTTCTGCTGTCTGGCATAACAGGATTGTTGATTTGGGGAGTTTGTATCTCTTCTGGGCTGCCCAGAGTATCATCTCTTTGTACTTCTCATAGGATAGGAAGTTCATGCTCATTGAAAGCTGGCACAGTGAAGTGCTTACAGTGGTGATCTGACACAGGCTGGCTCCCACCCGTTGCTGGTATTTGATCTCCATGACAGCTCCAGCTATGACAGCCCCCTTTACCTTCCTCCCCTCTCCCCTTTTTGCTGGCATTCCCCAGCATCCTCTTTTCCACCTACGGTGATAATTCTCTGCTTTGCTCGTGGTGGTGGACAGACAGTACCTGCTCCATGGGCTGTTGTTCCTCCCAGAAGAGCTCTTGCTGAGCAGAAAGCTGCTGGCTACCAGAGCATCCTGGAAGCAGGGGTGAGGGATTCAGAGGGAGCCCCACAAAGCAGAAGCTGTACAGTCTATGGTGCTGGGACGAGGTGATCAATGAGTTTTGTTGTGCAGAAGTCACGGGTTAGGGGAATGGGTAGGTGTTTATAGACCCAAGAGGGAGTGCTCTGAAATGACCCCTCATACTGCTGGCATTTGTTGTATGTGCCCAGCATTTTACTTTGGCACAGCTCTAGCTAATAACCTGTGGGTCGTTGATATGGAAATACAGGAATCCCCATTGCCTGTAAAGGCTGAACTAATTTCTCTTTATACGCTGTTCATGTTTCATCACAGTTATTTTAAAAGTGGGAAATCTTAGGAAGTTTTTTCCTACTTATGTAAAAAGTTCAGGTATAATTTCTTCTTGGATGTCAATCTTTTGCAGTAATGAAATTTTGCTTCTTTTAATCATATCAAGGTATGCATAAGCTTAATTGTGAAGCCTAGTGACGCACAATCGTCCTCCAGTCTGAAGTTCTGGTGCCAATTTTGTGTTTTGCAATAAATGTTTTATAGCATCCCTTTTGCAATGAACATGTTTGCTGAGATATAATTGGCAGAAAACAAAACCTCATAAATTTCTTGGTAGAATCCCAAGTTTAGTTTCTTCTTGCCAGGTGAAACGTATCTTCTTACTACAAGAGCACAATTGTTTCATGTTATGAACTAAGGGTTGTCTTGCAGTTAAAATCTGTGTATATTCATGCATAAAATGTTAGTTCTGTTATAAATGCTTGACTAGAAATGTCAGATGTGGGTGTTGGTTTTTTTTTTTTGTTTTGGTTTTGAGGGTTTTTTAACTTGTATTGTTGGGAAATCAGGAAGCAGCAGGATAGTGATGTACAGGTCTATACTATTAAGCTTTTTGTTCTGTGAAATTGTCAGCTTGGCTATTTAGCATGTGGAAATAGAAGTGAAATATGACAGATTGGCAATACTGGAAAACCAAGGAAAGTAATTATTAAGTTCTATTCTACAAAAACATTGCTGTGTTATTACCAGGGCCAAGTAAATTGGTTATGTTTCCCTGAAATAATCCAGAAATAAATTTATAATATAATAATACGAAATAAATATTAAATATATATATTAAATATAATGCCTGAAAGATGTTATAATGCATTGGAAGGATTGGAAGTACCAGAGAACTCTGAATTTCTTGTAGCTTTAACATGGTCTCTCAACTGAACAATGACTTCAAGTAACTTTCCTCTGAGCTGATAGATATCAAAGCTTAAAGAGAATTATATTAATGTGGTAGTCACATGTGTTAAAAGATCCTTAATGTAACATTCTGATTTTTTTTCCTTATTCCCACCATTGGCTCTAATGGGGTATTTAGCTTGTTCAGTGATACTATTATTATTTTCACTGTTGGTGTCATGATGCCTAAAAGCCTCAGTCACAGAGCAGAGTATCAGCAAGTGAGCAAATGTAGCAATGGAAAAAGGAAACATTCCTTGTCCAGAGGAACTTAAATCCTGCTTCAAAAGAATTTTACCCATGAGCACAGGAAGAAAAGGCTGTTTGCCAGGTATTTTATGAAAAGACTATTCAAGGCAGTTGGCTGGATAGGGCTTCAAGTGAGCCCTGAGTCAAATGCCACATCAGGGCTATGGCATTGATGGCAAATATGTGGCAATGGTGTCTGCAGCAGTCAGAGAAACTTCAGGTGGTTGTTAGACACCCAAAACATATTAAATGGATAGACTGTGGTTGTTATGTTTGAGAATGGAGAAGGGAAAAAAAGATCTCCAGTGCTGGAACTGGAGCTGGATTTGTATTGTAATTGAGAAACAATGTATATAAAAGAAGAAATGAGGACTATGGATAGACCTCTACTGAGAAGTCAAGGACAAATGGGATAAGATGATGATAGCAGTGATTAGAGACATGAGTAGAAACTGTAAGCTGTTAGTGTGGAGCAAATGTCAAACACTCACTGATCCTGCTTCAGAGGGGATCATGATAATCTTTAGAGCGATATCAGGTGAATGAAAGGATCAGGAAGTTGAGTCTGAGAGAACTGTATCAGGAAGAGCACTTGCTAGCAGTGCAAACATCACTTTCATGGTTATTTACACTGACGTGTTAAACGAGTCAGGATAGTTAGCAAGATAGGTAGGTTCAAGCATGAGCTGATTTTCATAGGAGGGAGACAAATGTGATTGGAAGAAGCCTTTCTGCCTCCTCTGCTTGAATACAGCAAAGCTCTGCTGCAGCATGGGCAGCAAATGGTCTCTGTTTACAGTGAGAGGAGAAAATGGGAGCTTCAGAAAACTTATGCTCACCCACCCTCTAAAATCAATTTGTGTCACGGTTGTGTTGTTCTGCTGGTATTGTACCATTATTAGTGAATTTCTTACTGGAAGGCATTAATTTGGGGGTTTCTGTTTTTTCATCCAGCACTGGTTCACGGAGCTTCCTCCTGTCTTAACTTTTGAGCTATCAAGATTTGAGTTTAATCAGGCATTGGGGAGACCAGAGAAGATACACAACAAATTAGAATTTCCTCCAATTTTGTATCTAGACAGGTACAGTATAATATTATCAATAAAATCTAGTGTGTATATAAAATAAATCTTGTGAGTTTATTAAAATTGATGTTTCTTATGCTCACATAAATCACAGTAAATTAATGTTCTATTTATATGAGCTATAACTTTCATGGGTTTCATCTGTTTCAGAAAATAAACGTAGATAACAATTTAAGACATACTACTGCTTTGTGTCAAAAATCTACTTTTGTTCCATTTATTACTAGGTACTTGTGTACAGAGGCAAAATACTTTGAAAAAACACAGTTAAAGAATCCATTTGAGAAAGAGGGTGACAAGTTGGATATTTTGTGGTGTTCCAGATATTCTTAAAGCATGCAGTCAATTCTCAGCATCAGTGCATGGTGTTTCTCTGTAAAGCAGAAATACCAGCACAGCTTTCAGCTAGCTGCCGAATGTTTATTGTGAACCTGAATACGATCCAGGAGTATTGCTACGTGGTTGCTACTTGAACCACTTAATTTAGCATCTCTCTAACAGCTGTCTAATGTACATTTGTTATCTATGGTATGAAGGGAGCTTTTGACACTGGGGCATCTTCTGAAAGTTGTGGAGGGGAAGGCTTGTTTTTTTTCTCAGTTCTGTTTTAGTGCTGAGTATGTTTTTGGTTCTTTTGTAGATGTGAGTTTTTATTAGTGCTAAGCAGAATGGCTGATGGGGAAAGACCTCAGTTTCAGTCTTGAGATACTACGGGCTGACATTTCTTTCTGAATTTCATGTTTTACAGGTATATGCACAAAAACAGAGAAATAACAAGAATTAAACGAGATGAAATCAAGAGACTCAAAGAGTACCTCACAGTTTTACAACAGAGATTAGAACGGTACTATAGATAAATGTGTAAATGCAAATAGTATAATGGGCTTTGCATTTAGAGAATGCAAAAAACTCTTTGCAATTATACACTTTGTATAGTTATTTACTTGAGGTTTCCTTTCTATATCTCTTTTCTTTTGTCCTTTCTTTGGAAGCTGTGTATAAGTGTTGTAATGCTGATTCATGAAACATGCTAGGAAAGGCTTGTTTTAATCACAGTCAACCAGAAAAGAAAATATAATTTTTTTTTAAATTTTGTTTCTTGTTTTTGTGTATCTGTGAGTCATGGCATTAATACGTTTTGTGGTTAACAGATATTTAAGCTATGGTTCTGGTCCTAAACGATTCCCCTTGGTAGATGTCCTGCAGTATGCCCTGGAGTTTGCCTCCAGCAAGCCGGTGTGCACGTCCCCCGTGGATGACCTGGGTGCCAGCGCCCCCGCCAGCGGCACACTGCCACCACAGATCCCCCCCAGGTAAGGGCTGCCTCCTGCTCCCCGGGGCAGAGACCACAGCAAACCAGCCTCTGGCAGAGAGGGAGCACATTCAGCTGCTTTGTTCACCACATCAATAAAACTAGACATCTCCTAAGGGGGGTAGTGTAAAGTTTCTGCTCTTTTCCTTCAGCACGACAGGCTTAAATAAATAAACAAAAATGTTAATGACCTGGCTTTGTCTCATGCACTTACAAAAATGTCTTCACAAGGAGAATTACCATTTTCAAGCACAGCCCAATTCCATCTACAATTCTAAATAGACAAAAGTATCTGGTGAGGTCACTGATTCCCATGTGTATTGTGTAAGAATCTGAATTGGGCAGTGTGTATGTGCTGCATAGCTTCAAGGTTTCTGGTGTGTAAATTTATCCATTAGTGTTTGCTGGGGAGCTAAGCTCCTTTTCTGCCATGCAGTTTACATAGCTTACCAAGTTTGTCAGGAGCCTACTAATCTGACTTCTTAAATGCAGAGGAGCTAAAGTACCAAGGGGATAAATGTCCAGTAATGTTTTTCTCACCTTTTAAGCTGGCAGCTCAGTACAAGGGATCGAGTGTACACTCAGTCAGTTTGCAGATGATGCCCAGCAGAGAAGGACCTGGGGGTTCTGGTGACAGCTGCTGAACATGAGCCAGCTGTTCCCAGGTGGCCAAGAAGGCCAATGGCACCTGGCCTGTGGCAGCAATAGCAGGGCAGCAGGACCAGGGCAGGGATTGTCCCTGTGAGTGGGGCACTGGTGAGACCACACCTCAGATCCTGTGTCCATTTCTGGGTCTGTCACTGCAAGAAAGACATTGAGGGGCTGGAGTGTCCAGAGAAGGGTCTGGAGCAGAAGTCTGGTGAGGAGCAGCTGAGGGGACTCAGCCTGGAGAAAAGGAGGCTCAAGCTAGACCTTGCCACTCTAAAATTCCCTGATAGGAGGGTGTGGCCATCCCATCCAGGTGGGGATTGGTCCCTTCTCCCCGGTAGCAAGTGACAGGGCACAAGGAAACGGCCTCAAGTTGCACTAGATGAGGTTTAGATTGAATGATAAGAAACATTTCTTCACAAAAAGAGTTGTGAAACATTGGAACAGGATGCCCAGGGCAGTGAGGGAGTCATCCCTGGAGGTATTTAAAAGATGTGTAGATGTGGCATTGAGGGACATGGTTTACTAATGGCTTTAGCAGTGCTGGGTTAATGGTTGGACTTGAACATCTTAAAAGTTTTCTCCAACCTAAATAATTCTATGATAATAGAGTGTAACTGAATGGGTGGACACTAACAATTCATAACATTTGACAGTAGGATTCTGTCTCCTGGGTCGGTCAAGATTGTTAAATTTGTTATTCAGAGAAGTGAAGTACATGAATCTAAAAAGACTTTAAAAAGATTTCAAATGTCTTACTAGTGAAATGCCAGCAGAAATCTTGATGATTGATAAGACAAACTTTTAAAAGTTACCATTGCTTGCGTGAAATGCGATATAAAAAGTAATAAACTTTGTTCAAACTCCTGTGTAGGAAGTTTGTTCTGTAGACGTGTAAGTATTGTGGCTCTTTTGTCCACCTGTAGAAACACCACAGCATGTTATATAGAATGTCATTTTCAGCTCTTTATGTTATCAGAACTTTCTAAACTCCTGAAGAATCCAGGTACCTCATGCTGTATCATGATACTGTACACAAAGTAAGAATTCAATGGCTTGCAAGAAAGATTTTCAGATTCCTGTTACGTAGTCTATATAATGCAGTGTATATATATAGGTGATCATGTTGATGGGAAGAGAAAAATCTGTAACAAGTCTTCATTTTATTACCCTGCTGCTCTTGTAGAATTCTCCTAAGATGTCTGCTTTGCAGTTGGAGTTAGAATGGTTTGGAACAAATTTAGATTGACTGGTAGCGCATTTCCAGTGTGCCCTAAATATCACAGGTTCCTTCATTATTGCTGTTCAGCTAATGTAAGTTGTAGGTAGGACATTAGAAAAAGTATGTCTGCTGTTCATAAGACACATGAAGAACTTGCTAAACTGAGAATTTGTGCTTATTGGATTTTGTGGTCAATGGGCCATAAGACGAACTGCTGTGATTTTTCTGCCATTTGACGGTAAATGTTTCAAACCACAGTTACTTACGTGTATGACGTGATTTGAAATTGTTCAGTAGCGTTTCAGATAAAGCAAACTACGTTGTTGTGGTAATATGTAATGCACCACAAACTTTCAGAATTTACATACTGATTCCATATTGCTATTGTAGTTACTTTTTCTGGATTGCACTGTAAGAAATGGTTACTTTTAAAATGCCCCTTTTCAGATGAAAAGCTGATTTTTATGGTGTAGCTTGTAGTTTGTCTAGGTGATGATTCAATTTTTATATTTCATGTTTTGAATGAATGCAGCACAATAGAGCAGCAGGGGCCTTCATCTTCAGATGTCCCAAGCACATCTCCTGTACAAAGATCAGTAATTCACAAACCATTCACGCAATCACGGATTCCCCCTGACCTGCCAATGCATCCGGCACCAAGGCACATCACAGAGGAGGAGCTGTCTGTCCTGGAGGGTTGTTTGCATCGCTGGAGGACCGAAGTAGAGAATGACACAAGAGGTGATGCCACAAACTGGGGAATGCTTTTGCCCTAGGAAAGAATTTGTGCAGTTTGTGGGGGAAATTTTTCATCCAAGAAGGTTTAGTGTTTGCAATGTAGATAGATGTACCATGTATGAAACGTGCCCCTGTTTGGCTACTTGTGAGATAAAATAAAGATGTAGCCACATGCAATTATACAGCCTTATGAAAGAGAGGTTCTTTCTTCTCCTTGTCTTTCAGATTTACAAGAAAGTATATCTAGAATACATCGGACAATTGAGTTGATGTACTCAGACAAAACAATGGTCCAAGTAAGTACAATTTTGGCATGAGGTTATTAAAATTCGATCCTTTTTGTCACTTCTTAAAAGTTCTTAGATGCTTGAAAACAGAGCAAGTACACAACAACTTGAGAAATTACATTGCAAAGTGATAATGGGTTTTGCAAACCCTTTAATTGCACACAGTCAGATAAAAGAAGCCTTAAAATATTTTACAGGTGACATGCCTAAATTCAAGCAACTGTGATGAAAAATTGAAATACGTTCTCTCTTTGCTCTCCATTTTTTACCTGAATGCAGATTCACACAACAAATTTTTTTTGCCCTGATTTGCCCCTATTGCTCAGTAACCTTATGGCTTTCAGATGATGAGGCATTAGACAGAGGCAGTTACTATTTACTTTGCTACTTAGCACCACTGTGTATTGCAACTTCCATGCTAATACATGGAAATTCAAGGCTCCTGATTTTGGTTTGTACTTAATTCCAGTGAGTGGTTTTTTTATTGTTGGCTTGGTTTTTTTGGTTTTGTTTTGTTTTTTTGTTGTGTGGGTTTTTTTGTTTGTTTTTTGGGAGGGTTTTTGTTTGTTTTTGGGGTTTTAAAAAAACTGTCTAAATTGGTGGTCAGTCACAACCTTGATAATTAGTCTAAGCTGTCCTTTAGCAAATTCTCCTTCTGTGTAATCTGAACAGTGTTTTTAGAACGTTTTCCTGTGGAGTTGTGGCTCCTCTGCTGTTTCTTACGTTCACATAGTCATGTTCCCTTGCTCTGACAGGTTTTAAGGTTAACGATTTCTTCCTCTGTTACTTTCTGTTAGTAAAAAGAGCTATTTTCCTTCCAAGTAAGATCTGTTCAGCTTACAGTTTTCCTTGAGGTATGTTTTCGTTTTGTACATGGCTTGTAATAGTTCCTGGCAGCTGAACTCTGATGTTAAGGATTTCAGGCAGATTTGCTAAGATGACTTTCTTTAAGCTTGCTACTGGCAAGCACTTTTTTTTTCCTTTATTCTCATGTTTATATCAAAAAGGCTACAGGCTTCATGTCATCCAGCAGTAAAATTAATTAATTTGGTAAACTTGAATCCAAGTAGTCCACTTCCGCTGGCTTAGGTGTTACAGCAGGAAATACCTCTGGATAGCAAAGATACTAGTCAGCTGTCATTACAAAAGAAAAAGATTACTAAAACACTGAGTAGGTGCTGAACCCATCTGAAATCACAGGCTGCCCTGCTGCAGCTCAGCTGGTTTGTCCCCGTGGCTGTTTTGGCACAATAGCAAGGAGGCAGGTGCACACAGCTGTCTATTTTTCCCTGCCTTTCTCTGTTTCTGGGTGATTTAGTAGTTGGGTATTGCCCCATTCCCTGGGAGTAGTTTCAGGTATTGATGTTTCCCTCTGCACAATACAATTGCAGGATTGAAAGCTTTTCTCTTGCAAGTCAAGTTCTAGGCACATAAAAATAGACACATGTTTAGGACAGATGTATAATAGTTGCAGGATGTTTCCTAGTGTGTTTATGAACTATTTGAGAAGCTCTTTGTCTTCTTTTCTCCTTTTTGATTCTAAGGAGACTACACTGTTCATAAAACCTTTGTGAAATTGTCGTATGAAATACATTCCCAAAACCTTTATTGTTTCATTCTCCTGAATGAATGTTTCATCAGCTGCTTATTTATTTCCTTCCTTCTGTGAACTTACTGTTGGGAAAGAGACACAAATGTTTTTTTTCTGTGTGAGTTCATCGTTGGATATAGCAGCTTTGACATACTTGTTCTGTTGCTACATGTGATGGAGTTGTGAAGTGAGTACTAAGTGTAAACTCAGAAGTTTAATGCCAGCTGTTTGTGTTGCTATTTGTTGTACTGTTAATTACTGTTGATAGAATGGCTTATCACAGGAGATGCCTTTTGGTACTGACCTCACATTCCCTCCCAGACCTCTGTGGGGAACCTTCCAGAAAGCTCAGTGTGGATGACTGACAGCTCCTTCTCTAGACTTGGAGGAGAAGGTGCGAAGTCTCCACCTGACCCAGTTAGCATAGTTTTAAGTAAAACAAATTAAATTCTATGGGGATTTTTAGTGGCTGATGATAGGGTAAGAAAATTTTATTTTGTCAAATTTCAAAGAGAGACCTTTTTTTAAAATCAGGATCTGCATACATTTTTGTGCATATACACAGGCTTGCAGTCATTTTAAGGAGGCTTTCACACTGGTCTAATAACAGATGTTTAAAACTCCAGAGCATTCAGATTTAAGGACTTGCCAGGATTTCTTCTGTGTATACTTCTTGTGTTTGGGAGATTTAAAGTGTGGTTTGGTCTCTGGAATGACAGGCTGTTTGATTCCAGCTGCTGTGCAGTCACTCAGCTTTACAGTTCAAGGGGAGTTGCAAAATCTGCAGCACTTCCATACAGCCTGGAAGAGAATGATCAGGTTAAAAATAACTTCAAGGAGTTTCTCAAGTCTCAGTAATGTGTGTATTTATGGTTGTGGTACTCCAGCGGGATTTGCAAAAAATGCTAAGTACACCTTGAGTTAAATAGGCTGTTTATCTTCCGACTGTGAGACCAGTACAAGCAGTTTTTGGATTTTTCATGCCAGCTGAGCTGTTGTTATTCAGGCACACTGTGCATAGCAGGGAAGCTCAGTTTTCCCTTCTCTGTTGCATGTGCTGTTCCAGCAGGTTGAAATGAGTCAATCACTACAATGCTTTCAAAAGACTTGTAAGGAAGAACTCATTCATTCTGCTTCTCTCTCTCTCCCCTTCAGATTCCCGACTGTCTAGGTAGAAACTGAGCTTCCCATTCTTACTTCTTGGCTTACAGATGTAGCCTGGAATTCTTTTTACTGATCCTAGAAACTGCTGTCTTCCTTTGCCTCAGGAGGAGGAGAGGACCTCTTCGGGTCTTCCATGCTTTACTTAGTAGTGCTTTTCCTGATACATTTAAAATACTGGAAAATGGTTGTATTCCTATTCTACTGTAGGTATTTTACCTTGGGGTAACAGAAGTATTTGACTCACAGATATTCCTTTAAATAAATTCTCTTACTGTCACACAAAAACCACTCAGTTTATCACCTTGCATTTGCATGTGCCTTTCCAGGCATTTTGACAGGTTTGCCTGCTCGGAACTGAAGCAAATCATAGACAGTCAAGACTGACTTTTTTGAGGGTTTTTTTGATAGCTACAATGAAGGTAGGAATATTAAGGAATTAAGAAGAGGACATGCCTGGTAGTAAAGATAGCAGAGTAGATATTTATGTTGTACACTCACTAATATTTTTTAAATCTCCTGTAACTAGTAGTGGTAAGTAACATAGTTCCAAGTCCTTATACTTAGCAGGTTGCTAGTTTTACTTGTTTGTTTTTCCTATGTGTTTGTTTTGATCCTGATTAACTTGATTTCATTTACTTTTTTAATGTAGCTATTATTGCTGGCATACAATAGGAACTAATTGCTGTCAAGGAGAGTCTGACATTGTTTTATTTTCTGTTTTGTTTTTTTAAGGTTCCTTATAGGTTGCATGCTGTGCTAGTTCACGAGGGTCAAGCAAATGCAGGACACTATTGGGCGTATATTTATGATCACCACCAGAACAGATGGATGAAATATAATGATATTTCTGTCACAAAGTCGACATGGGAAGAATTGGAACGGGACTCTTTTGGTGGTTACAGGAATGCCAGCGCATATTGTTTAATGTATATCAATGATAAGGAGCAATACTTGATACAAGGTAATGTTACCCATACGGGTTCTGCATGGTATAGAATAGCTAAATACAGTGGTAAAGCAAACTTCTTTCAGATGGGTTTTCAGATTTTTGAAACGTTTTTAATAATCACTGAAAGTTTTATTCCTGCTCCTAACTGTTAGATTGTTTTTATGGGTGAAACAATTGCTTTTCAACTTTTAGATCAATAAAGGGAGTGCCAGTGTTTCAGCATTATTAAGAGAGAAAAATAAATTAAGCTTGATAATTAGTAAACATTTGAATCAAGTGATTGCAGAATTTTGGAGAGGTTATCTCAAGATTAGAAGAGAAATATGGCAATAGAGAAATGAGCCTTTTGACATTAAAATGTTCTCATAGCTGCTTTTTTTTTCCTTAAGCTTCAGAGCTCTGATGCACTCTACTGGAGCGTGGAAACATGAAAGCTTATGCAGTAAATTTAAGTGTGAATAACTTAGTTCTACCAGCCACACATCAAACCTAGCTAATACATGGATTGGGAAGTTTTTTTTTATGCAGCTATAAGGCTTTGTATGGTTTGCAGAGAGGACAAAGGTCCCTTAGCATGAGGTTTTTGATAATGGCAGCAAGAGAGCTGCCACCAAGAAAATGTCCAGAGATTCTGTAGCAGATCATGGAAAATGTTCACGTTTGGTTTTTTCGTAGGGCAGAAGGCTCAAGTGGTCATTTCTTCAGTTTTTAAATGAGAGCAGATATTACTCTTGACATTCCTAGATTGCCAGGTTGGTAGTGGACTTGCAGCCATAGGGTGTTGGGGCTTCCAGGCTGCCTGTGCCATTCCAGTTAAGTCTGAGGCTTGCTCACGGTGGGACAGTTACAGCTGGTGGATCAGCTGGGCATTGGGTATCCCTGCAGAGACCATTCTCCAAGCAAAAAGGAGATTTCTCAGTTTAACCAATGTTCTTATCAGCTGGCTTTCTGAATTCTCTCAGGCTCTCTCTTTTCTGTTGGGAAATTCAGTTGTGTCCAGCTCTCTGTGGGAGTAATACAGTCAAGCAATGATGGGGTTTTTGTGACTGTTCTCTGAATGTTCACAATCATAGAGTGCTCAACAGATAGTAAACCCAGTTAAAACTAATATAGTTTTGGGAGTTTGGTATTACACTGTACATTTCTGGTAATCCACTTGAGGAAATCTGTTGGACATACTTTCTACTTTGTTTTGTCCTGTTCTTTCTTTTTCTAAAACTTACATTTCATGTTACCGCAGAGGAGTTTAATAAAGAAACAGGACAGATCCTTGTTGGAATGGACACGTTGCCTTCTGATCTAAGGGATTACGTCAAGGAAGACAATAAACGTTTTGAAAAAGAACTTGAAGAATGGGATGCAGAACTTGCTCAGAAAGCACAGCAGGAGAAATTGTTATCTCAGATACCCAGGGCACCAGCACCCTCACCTGCTCCAGGTTAGCTGCTTCTACCTGTTTGTAAAGGGAGCAGGGCCAAAAATCTCTGGTGTTTGTGTATATAATTTTATAGTTTAACAAAAGAAAAGTTATTTTTGTAGTCTTGAATTACAGCTATTTACTTGGCCAAGGTACCTGTACAGAAGTTTAGCCTGTGGGGGTGGCTTTTTGTGTTTTATATAAAGAAAATAATTATTTATTGTCTCTTCTGCCTTTTCCCTCAATTGTCCTGAGTTGCCTTTTTTTTTTTTTCCATAGAAACTGAGGCTTTTTAAAATATATCTCACCGGTGTGCTTTGAGAATTTGTTAGTCTATAAATGATGTATGTTCTCCTATTCAGGATGATTGAATGTGAGACCTACATTCACATTTGAGATTAGAACTTTAGAACATTAGCATTTAGATCTGAAGTACAGAATAATTTATTTGGTGTGATGCATTGAATAGATTAAACAATAGCAGGGCCCACTTAAGAAATGACTGTGTGAAAATGAGGGTGTTACCACTGTGGAAAATATTCTGACCACCAACAGGGAGGCCAGTGCTTGTAGGAACCCATCTATTGAGGACCACTGGCAATCTGATTATAAACCAGAATTGCTTTGACACTTAAAAACCTGCCAGGTTTTTGGTGACATCTGCCCTTTGCTCCATTGCAGTAGGGATGTGAAAGATGACATGATGGATTTGCTGTCTAGATGTTCTCATTGCTGTATTTGAGTCCTAAAGATTAAGGATATATTTCTCATAACTATCTGACTGCAAAAATAAGTGCAGTGATTTAATGGCATTGCTTGTTTTGCAAACTCTGTGGAGAGTTACTTCATCTTTATATATGTTTTGAGTTCACAAACACTTTGAGACTCATGCTATTTCTTTTGTTATTAATGGAAAGTACAAAATGAATGTTTCATTTGTCTGCCAGAATTTGGTTTCATCATGTAAGGAACATAAGACACTATTTATACCAATCGATTTATTGCTGTCAAGTGGAGGAGACTATGATTTCTCTTGAGGCAGAAAAATATAATGTGTTTATTATTTTACAAAGTAAAAATAAATCTGGCTCTCAAGTGGCTGGAGGTCATTCCAAATGCTGAGTCTGTATCCCACAGAAACTCCAGCTAGAATCTTTGTTCTCAGTCATCCCTGATGATTGATTGATTGATTGATTGATTGATTGATTGATTGATGAACTCCTGTCACTCAAGAGCCTCAGTGGGTCTATAGACAGGTCTATTGCTCCTCATAAAAAAATCAGGGATCTTTTTATAAGGAAGTGTTAAAAATTACATGAGACTCAGACTGGTGTAAAGTTGTATTTATGAATTGTGTGACCTACACATTTTGTGGGGTTACCTTACCTATGAGACAGTGATCCAAATATAACTAATCAGTTTAAAATTCATGCTGCTGTTAACACACACAATTGTTATCTTCTTTCTGTCACTAAGTTCAAGCAGGAGAACCAGAGTATTTAGAGCAGCCATCAAGAACTGATATTTCAAAGCACTTAAAAGAAGATTCTGTACAAGCAATCAATAAAGCTTTAGCTGAACAAGAAGATAGAGGTCCAGAAGCCATAATGGATACGGTGAGGATATTTTGAAGCTTGAAATACTTATTTTGCTTTTATTTTGCTAGTGAAAATAATACAATAACTGATGAAAGGGCACAAGTCTGGGAATTTTGAACTGAAAATTGCCTTTTCTTCAAGTACTGTCCAAAACTTAAGTCCATACAGAAAGTGTGTACAATGGTAATGGTGTAGTGCAAAAAAGTACTGAGACAGGTGTTCTCTGGGGGATTAAAGTGCTCATCAGGAGTACAGCATATTGTTCAAATTACAATCATATGTTTGTGCCCACCATCTTTTAAAAATCTTAGACAATCCCATGTATTTTTTAGGAGCTGACATTGACAGTCCATGTAAAAGACGTGAAAAAATACTGTAATAGTGTTTTAGACATTCAGGTTTTTATCTGAGAAATATAGGAATATAATTGAGTTCTTTTGACAAACCTGTGGAAGTTAATGTAGCTTTCAAAAATAAGCGTTTATCTGCAGTATTCTGTAGCTTTAATATAGTTAATGTAACTTTCAAAAATAAGCGTTTTTCAACAGTATTCTGTAACTTTAATACAGATTCTCAACTTGATGAAAAACATCCATAGGATGCCTATGTTAACTTAAAATGTCTATAAGAATCAGTGTTGGGTGTTTCTGTTTTCATTATGTATAAAATATACTGAGAAGAATAGGACATTACCTATTTTATAGGTTATTAGTAAAACTAATATTTGACATTTTTTCTTTAAGCAAATATTATTTTGCTTCCCTATAACATAGATAAATGATAAAATGTGTTTGCCACAAAACCAAGTGCCATTAAAACAATACATGCATCTGTCTTGGAACTATATCCATAAATGTACAGTATGGCTTCCTTAGGCATCCCTAGTAACCACTAGGGATATGAACAGTTTAGATCTTTGCAAAATGCTTCCAAAGATCAGGTGTGAACCCTCATTAAACTGAAGCAGTCTGGCCCAGCTATCTTAAAGTTGCTGAAAATGACATGACAGCTTGTTGACAACTTGTTGATCTGCTGTGTTTTCCCCCTCTCCTGTTGTGTCAGGAAAGCAGGGAAGCACACTTCCTCTGCTGAACTGAAATCAAAGCCAACAGGGAACCTCATCTAACCCTGGATGAAAAGATGTTCTGCCACTAAAGCCTTAGGCTGCTGCATATTAGCCCTTTTTGAGTGCTCAGAACAGTGGGAGGCTGTTCAATACATGTTACTCCTGCTGAAGAGGTGGCTGTGAAGATACCAGAACATGATAAAATGTCTTTCATAATGCTGTCTTCTTTCCAGGGTTTGTGGGCACCATCCCAGTGGGATGTGAAAGAATCTTAGCCTTTTTTCCATCAAGTGTTGTAGTTCAGGATAATGACACTTTGCACAGTGGTCAGCCTTAGGACTTCACAAGACTCTGGCTGGGCAACACCACGCTATGTTTAATGAGGCGAAAAACAAAAAGAAACCATGCAGACATTATTTAGAAAGAATTGTACTTCAGCTGTTAAAATGAAAAGTAAATTTCTAGTTAATCTGACAGTGTTCCTCTCCTCGCTCCCCAAATTTTGCTTAGGCAGAGTTGTGCTTCCTTCTCAGTGTATCAGCATGCTTTCTAATTATTCTGCTTCCATATGCATTCAGACATGCAGGCATATGTTCCATTACTTCACTTTTCGTTTGTACAATTCTAAAAGGAGGAAAGCCAACATCAGCACATGTAACAAGATAGTGGGTTATTCACCACATGTTCATTTTGTCCATTTTCTGCCTTTTGTCATTTTTTTTCTGCCCTCTGATTGCCCAGTCTTCCTTTATATTTATGCGGTGTTGGGCGTAAATAGATACTGTGTATGGTTTTGTTTAAAAGTGAGACTATTGTTATAGTTGTAGAACAAATAGCATGGCACTTTGTGATTGCTTGGATTGGAGTCAAGGTTTAAGTTCTGCAAATGCTGTAAACTGCCTATTATTCCATGATAGACCACGGGAGCCAAGATTTGTCTCCATTGTTTAAAACTTTAATGTAGCAAATAATTGAGTGACTAGGATAATCTTCTGATTTTCTGTCAAACTGTTCTTCTAAAAAATAAACCAGTTGAATGTAATTCTCCTTTAAATTTTCTTTAAAATATCTTGATTGTTAGAGGCTTTTTTTGTTTTTTTTTTTTAATCCTAGATTTTCAGGCAATGTTAGCCTTTAGCTTGTTTCTATCCTTTAGTGTGACTTCATCAGGTATTTCAGATAGGAAGTATTTGACATGACCCTCTTCAAGGCCAGACTGAGCAACCTGATCTAGTGGGTGGCATCTTTAGGACTACATGATCCTTGAGGTCCCTTCTAAACTGTTCAGTTGTTTTATGATATGCTCAATAATTTTGGGGTGAAATGTTCAAAAAATAGTGGTTCACAGACTCATCCTTTACCAAGTGCCTTAAATTTGTAATGGATATTAGAGTTGTAATACTGGTATACTAACCTGTAAAGATAGAATTGGTGAATAAAGAACAAATGAAATAATGTTAATAATTATAGCTTCATTTTAAAATGTGCTACTTCAATTGTAAATACCACTTACATTCTCTAATTAGATACAGTTTCTGAATTTTTTCCAGAATTTCAGCAGTGCACATCATTGAACTAGATCAGCCTGTCAGTTTGCATCTCTCCATAATTTTCTGTATTTTCTGATGATTGTTATGATTATTCTTTTTTTTTCCCCAAACACATACTGATAATGGTTTTCTTCTGCAGAGCTCTGATAATGCCCCAGCTCAAGCAGCTCCTACCCAGCGAGTGGTAGAGGTGGCGATTCCTGATGTAGGGACTTTTGTGATTGAGTCAGAGGAGGGGGGTTATGACGATGAGGTACCTCTGATTGCAGTTGTGTGCACCGCTCCTCCTCGGTGCTTTCTCCTGCTGCCTGATGAGAGTTTTTGGCATGTTTGCACACTGTGACACCTAACAGACTTCTGCAAAACTAAATGCTTAGCCATTTGTGATGTTAACAAAGTCATAGTTTTTAATGAAATATGAAAAGAAAGCACTACAAACTCTAATTGGGCACGCTTTGCATGGTACCATTTACACTGGAGGTGTATTTGTCTCTTCAGCTGTGGAAGATGAATGTTTGTGTTAGGCCAGGTAGCCTTCAAAATGCTGGTGAAAGACTGCAAAATATTGCATTATTTAAAAAGTGACAGGACACCACAGGATATTCTTAATGTTTGTGTTTTCTTGTCAATCCAATAAAGCTACTAGTCAAGTCTGAGCTCTTATTTGCCAAGGTTAAGCTTTTCAAGCTTTGGGGATTAAATTAGCCATGGAAATAACCTGACACTGATATGGATGCTGGAGCTGACTCTTGCAAATCTTAAAATTATTCAGGCTCAGGGTGGCACACACAATACTTCTTGAGGAATCGTTGAGAGGCCTGTTGTTGCTCTGAGATACATTATTTTTTGCTGCTCAATTTCAACAGTAGAAAACAGCACTGCAGATTATCAAAGTATCTTGCCTCATCATTGCTTACTCTGTTTTAGTTGGGAATAGGGCTGGTGCAGCCCATATTCGCAGGGGTCTGAACATGGGTTCTTCGGGGAGCTTTAGCTTCCCTAGGCAGATGGACATTTCAGGACATTCTTCCCTGGAAGTGCGATCAGTAATAATTGGGAGTGGGGGGTGGGGAATAAAAGGGTCAAATTGACATCATCACACTGAGTTTAGCTGCTCACAGATGTGTAATCTCCACCTTTAAAGAAATCCAGATTTAACATTTTACAATGACCTGCTGGTTTATTTGTTTGTTTTTATTTTTATCCCCATTCCATTGTCTTTCTAGATGATAACTTTGTTGTCTGTTTCCCTATTTGCTTTGTTAGTGTATTTGCTTTCTTTTAATGCTGTTATGTGTGGGAGACTTGCAGGGAGTTTAAGATCCTTCATCTTTTGTTGGGCAGGGAGTGAGGGAGTGTTTTTCTTTGCTCACAGATAAAGCAGAAAGGCTTTTCTGAGTAGCTTGGATGTATCAAATTGTGTGTAACAACTGATGTGAATAGCAGTGAGAGATGTCTTGTGTTTGTCTTGGTGTTTGTTAATTGTTCTGGGTTTGATGTTTAAGAAGTTATCTGCATATGCTTTAGGGATTGATTGCATTTGCAGCAGTGAGTCTCTTATTTTGACCTTGAAATATGCATAAAATACCGGTGTTGTAGTTTACTGTAGGTTTAGTGCAGTGTATCTGAAGTATGATTGGCTGATTTTTCTACTTGAATTTTTTTCTTTGTAATCCTTTGATGGCCGTGGGTAGCACTCCTTCAGTGTGCAGTTTCTGCTCGGTACTAATGCTGAACTGTGCATGTTCCTTTCCTGGGAAGTTTGGACCATGTAACTTTTTTGGCACAGTTTTCTTCCTTTGTCGTATAAGATTCCTTTAATGTTGTTACAGTAAAACTATACACACATGCCATGACTTGGTTTGAAGAATATGCTCACTAGTTCTGTATTGAAATGTGCCATTTCAGTGTATGCATGCATGAAGTTGCCTTTTTCATCTTGCATGAGACTAAAAGCATATTGATTGTAGTCATTAAAATATTAATTATTCAAAACTTTTACCTTAAATCCCTTGTGGCAGGTCATGCTGACCCCGAACATGCAAGGTATTATCATGGCTATAGGTAAAGCCAGGAATGTTTATGACAGGTGTGGGCCAGAAGCAGGGTTCTTTAAGGTACAACTAACATTTTCAACTTTTTCTCCTCTGACTTTTCCTGTTAGATATGATACCCTCTCTACCCCTTACTGTATATAAAGTCTTTTCCAGCATTTATACCTCTTTGTCTATATCAGTCCCTCCTATAGATATTTTTCCCTTGAAGAATAGAAAGATATTTGCCCTGTTAATATCAGTAGCTCATATACCTTTCTGAATTAATTTAGCTTTTTAATAATAGTAGCAAGTAACATAATAGTAACCTGAAACCTAGATCAGTAAAAATATGTGGGTTTTTTTCTCCTGTTAGTAATAAAATCCATGCCTTTGCTTGACTGTGGGACTTCAGGCCTTTTTTACCTAGGGACTTTAGTCATTTGTTGTTTATTTCAAAGAGATGTTCTTGGTTTTTACTCCTTAAGGCTTTTAATAAATCTAAATTGCTTGCTTTTGTGTAACTGTATGGGTGTCAATACTATTAATTTAAGCATTTTTTTTATTACTGGGGATTAGACATTAGGCTTTTTGCAGTGATTAGTCTTCACTGTGATACCAGATTTAAAAATGTGTTCATTTTCTTAAATACACAAACATCTGAGCACTTTTAGCTCATGGTCTTTTGAATTTTCAGGGTATTAGAAAGGGAATTTTTCTGTCATGATGTAAAATATAAAAACCTCTCAAATGTGATTTGGAGAGGGGAGAGAAGTTGCTTGCTTGTCATTTAGTAGCAGTCTGTTTCCTTTTTAATTGTTATGGTGTAGCTCCACTAGGAGAAATTGTGAAAGCCACAAAACCCCCAAACAAACAACAAGCAAACAAACAAAAAGCCCTGCCATCACCAACAAAAAGTTCTGCAACCCCTTGGTAAGGAAATGGAAACCTCGTGGGTGTTTGAAGTGGACACTTAGGGAAGTGTCACAACCATGTTTGCAGGATTATCTCAGTTAACTGCCTGATCTCAGGGAAAGGAGAGACACCTGCCACAGCCGTGAATTTGAGTGAAATTGGTTCTGTTTGGGATTCAGTACTGGTTGCTTTTTTTTTACCTCCTCAAATTTGTTACTTAATCAAAACATGTCAATTTTTTTTTTAAGTTGAAAAAAAAATTCCTCATTTGATCAAATCACTCATTACCAAAAAGTTCAGTCATGCCTAATTATATTTTTTAATATGAAGGGTGCTTTGATAACTTTAAAATATAGATTTACTTCTAAATAAAATTATATTTAATGCTTCAGAGTTTTCAAAACAATGCTCAGTTGAAATGATTTTGAATTCTTTAATTTTGAATGCTTAAACATTTAGGCTTTATGGGGGCAGAATGTCTTTGAATGAGAAAATGTTTTGACCTAAAGTAGAAAGCTTTCCTTACTAATTTTCTGCTGAATCGTGTTTGCAATAGCTTAGAAGAAGTGAAACATGGTTCATTTTGGAGTAGTACATTAGTGAATGCAGATGAAGTGGTCCTTCTTGGGAACAACATTTTTGTGTTGGGATACATTAGATAAAATCACATGTTTTCCCATAGCTTACTGTAAAAGCTTCTGTGATATCTTTTAATGCTGTTACTGTGTTCCTTCATGTGTTTCCTTTTTATGAAATCAGTGTTTTCAGAAAACTGGGGGTTTTGCTATCTTTGTTTTAATGTAACTCAGGTGAAACCCTTTGCATATGGGTCATTGTTTCTGCCAGGGTTTCACTCCCCCTCCAGATCTCAGGCTTAAGACATGACAAACATTCAGATATTTCTTGGTCAGTAATCTGTTCAAATCGCTGTTCTTTAACCTTTATAGACATCTCCTTGCAGAATATTTGCCATAAGATCTTTATATAATACTCTCAGTGAAAAAATGAAAGTGTGTAGTACTTTTTTCTAATCTTCCTTTTTCCTATATTTGATGTAGAGAAGTAGTGTTCTTTTTTCATTTTACTCAAGATTTCTGAATCTGTAGGATACCACATTATTTTAAAAATCAATATAAAAATACAGGGTTTCTGTTGCATTTTTTTCTTACTTCTAAGTAATTATATGAAAAATTAGATGTCTAATAGCAGTTTATTTTTGCTTCCTCAATAAAACAGGGTTTAATTGTTAGCAATGTTTGCTTTCTAATGTTAGAACTTCTGAAGTAAAATAGTCAAAACTCTATGGGTTTTGGGATTTGTAATGTTCTCCTAAATGTGTTTTTAATGGTAATGCATATATAAGTATTTAAAAATACTGATGCAGAAAATTCTCCTAAGTTTTAAAGTTCTCCACATGCTTTATGTTTAAGCCTTTATGATTATTATCCTACATGTGTAGTTCTGAAACAAAATGTGTTATTAGTAGAGGATGGGAGCCCAAATTTCTGATAGTTAAACACCAGGTATTACAACATAAAGACATTTGAAATATTGAACAGGGTTTTTTTTTCCTGACTGCATGAGTGCTTTATTTTGTACTTACTTTGTGTTGAAACTTTGACTGTGTTAGCAAACCATCTGATAACCTCCCTGTTTTCAGAGGGAATTTATGAAGTATTTGTTAATATTTGTCACCATTTTTCTAATTATTTTTCTTATGTTGTATAGTTTCAGTGAATAAAATCTAATGGACATATCAAATGATGTTCATTAAAATATAATGTGCTGGCAAAGCTGGAAAAGTAAATGCTTCTGATGACCTCTCAAGTTTTTCTTAAATATTCAGTGAGGTCTGCATCCTGCCCTATAGGGCAATACTGTTCATGTTGAATCTTTATTTTCTTTAGAAATCCTGTCATTTGTTTTTCATTGAAAGACATATTTCATTCTCACTTAGTGTTTTCCAAATCATACATGTTCATTAGACTTTCTCTGGGATATTTTTTATTCATGTCTTTGCATTTAACCATATGTTAGAGGGTTTTTTTTTTTTACCTTATGAGACTTCAGAAAATTTCTTTAGGTCAAGTGTCTGAAATCTTATACTGGTTTTTGGGCTTAAGAAACCTCTGTAAGGATGGGATAAATCTCTCAGGGAGACATAGCAAAGGATTGGAGCTACTTTGAAAGGGAGGGTTGATCTGGGATTTTGTCAGGCTTAACTGGGAAAGAAAGGACCAACTTAATTTATCTTTGGTTTTCTGTTTGTTTACACTTTTTAAAAAACAGTTTAGACTTCTTAGAAGGGTGGTCTGTGGAATTGTTAAAAAATTTCATAGGCAAAACGCCATGGGACATAAATTACTTTGTCTATGATGATTGAGTTAAAAGCCAGAAGGAATAATATCTGTTTTTTACCATTATGTAGGCAATTAAATTGGAATACACACGTCTGCTAAAATTAGCCCAGGAAGACCCACCACCTGAATGTGATTATCGTTTGCGTCATGCAATTGTTTACTTCATCCAAAACCAGGCACCAAAGAAGATAATTGAGAGAACATTACTGGAGCAGTTTGGAGATCACAATCTCAGCTTTGATGAGAGGTAATAAGATCTGCACATCTCATTTCCTGTGTTCATGAATGTTCTCTGATGTGTAGAAACACCCCTTCAGATCTGCCTGGTGCATTTGGCTTTATCTCCTAGTTAATAGCTTGCAAGTTTTGCTTTGTTAAAACATATCTTTATAAAAATCTCTATTAAAAGAGCAGTCGAGAAGTTGGGTTTCTACTCATAAAATAGGTAGAAATGCTCAGTGTAGTTCATAATTTTGCACATAGATTTCTGTACCTTCTTTTGCTGTGTATTTCCTCACTGCCCTGAAAGCCAACAGTAGACAGCAAAGCCTTCCCAGATGGGTGAGCTGGGTGAGTGACTTGAGAGAAGACAATGTCTCCCACTCAAAATTCCTTCTACTTACATAAATAGATAAATAGAAAGAAAGTGTTTCCTAACTTCCTAACAGAAGTTTGATTTCTGTGTAGGGAATAATCTTCTAAACTTCTACAAAGGACTTTCAAACTCTGTGAAAATTTAAAACTAAAGACTGAGCAATATGGCAATTAAGTGAAATAAAGGAAGTAATCCTTTAAATAGCACAGGCTTCCATCACATATACTTCAAAAGTATCCCCTCTTCCGCTGATTATACCATGCATAATAAAATGTGCATTTTCCACAGCATTTCCATACTGGTTTGCATAAGGCTGTATGTAGCTCATACAGTTTGAGGCTCCTGTCTTTGTAAGGATAATATCCTCTGTGTATTTCCAGTAATATTTCAGTATTTTTATTGCTTTTTGTAAGGTGCCGTAATATAATGAAGGTTGCTCAAGCCAAACTTGAAATGATAAAGCCAGATGAAGTAAACATGGAGGAATACGAGGTCAGTATTTCTTATGCTTTGAGTTGTAATGTGAAACAGTCATCAGAAAAGCTGAATTTTATCTTCACAAATTTCCTCTTGTCTTAGACTGAGAAGTTAAAACTGGCTGTTTATTGAAAGACCCCTTATTTGTGCAAAGGCTGCTCATGAGCTAAAGCTGTTTTTTCCACATCTCTAATTCCAGTATTTGAGCCATAAATAAGTCTCAGGTTGGAGTCTGTCCTTACTTTGTTAGCGAGTCTTGACGTCACTAGCAGTATTTTGTAATTTATCAGCACATGAGCCACATGGCTTTGTCTGGGCAGACACAGCTGGCAGGGAAGAAGGGACAGTGCTCTATGCTCAGCCTTGCTCATCTTGAGAGCTGGGTAGCAGGCACAGCCCCATTTGTGCTTTTTCTTCAGCTGTCTCTGCAGCCATTTCCATTTTCTTATGAGCAGCAGATTCTTTTCTTTCCCTAGACTATGTATAACCAGCTTATGCATTTAATTTTTCCTCCTGTGTTGTTTCGAAAAACTTGCAAGGAAAGTAAGAGTGAATCTCGGACATTAAATAATGGTGACTAATAGTTGCCAAAATCATTCATCTCACATTTAAAGCTAAGCCTGTTTTCCAGCATCAGTTTCAGGTCTGAGTAATACTGTTCATTAAGACCTCTTAACAGTGGATATTTATGTCCTGGGCAGATTGCAGTGCACCACCTGTAGCCCCTTGTTGTGCTGTTCGGTCCAAACAACTTGATCAGGAGGATTATGGGAGTAATCTTTGCCTCACAAATCAAAAGGAAAATATTTTAATTGCCACTTCTCATTACAGGTTTAGGACCCACAGCAGATGCTGCTACATTACAGTGTGCCCTCCCTAGTCACTATGGGGAAGGACCCTCTGAGTGGCATTTTGGTTGCATTTTCCTGGCTGTGCAGGGCTTATTAGCATTTTATCATTTTCTGAATGATACTGCACAGGGTTAACAAACAATTTTGGACTTACCTCCCACTTCCCACCCTTATAGCTATCTTTGTTTCTGTGCAGAAGCCTGCCCATTTTTTAGCTCCTGCCATAGGTGGTTGGGAGTTTGTCCGTAGATTGTATCGGTCCAGTATAGTGAGTTGGCATTTTCTACACCCTTGCTCAAGCTCGTTCTGTTGAATCTGCTAGTGACTGTGTCTTATGGTGGCTGTCCCCTATTTTATCTTTAATGCACAATTGAAAGTCAGCCATTAACCCTCTGTAGAGAAAGTGCCTTTCTCACCTGGAGCACTTACCTGTAAGGTGAACCAGGAGTAAGTTTGTATAAATGGTGATGCAATAAGATAAATGTTCTGCTGCTGTGCCTGCATCTCATCAGAATGGCACTGGGGGTTTTTTGGCACTTCCATGTAAAGTGTTCAGGCTTTTTCTATGTCATTCTTGTATTGAAAATTAAGCTTAATACCTGGCGTATGAAAAAGCTTTCCAACACTGAGTCCTATAGGAAAGGAAAAATAAGATCTCAAATTATTTTACCTGTGGTTTTCCAAAGATATTTTGTGTTTCTTTCAAATGGTAATAGATTCTATAAGAATAATCTTATCTAGAAATGTTTAAGACATTTAGGAATTTTCTTTTTATTGAGGGAGAGTGGATTTAGGTGGACTTTTCACATATGCAAGCCTACTGGGGTCCTTAGTACTTACTGGGACTGCTGGACACTAAATTTAAGTGGAGGAGGGATGCATTTAAAAAAATAAATGGTATTTCATCGTTGTGGATGAAGTTCTATTTACCCTTTCTTACATGCAGAGATGGCATCAAGACTACAGACATTTCAGAGAAACAACCATGTTTCTCATGGTAGGATTGGAGTTTTTCCAAAAAAAGAGGTAAGTGGTAGTATAGAACTCAAATGTAGTAGAATGATGTGAAGGCAGAGTGTAATGTTGATAAGTAAAACTGTGTTTTAAATTAAGAAGTGTTTAATGTTCATTTCAGTTAAGCATTTATTCAGTCTACTAATGTCTTCAGTCTTGCATCTTGCTTTTCTTAATTTTCATCTCTAATCTTTTATCAAGCCATGGGCTCTTTTCAGAGCACCCTTCATGTGCACCTCTATTCTTCCTTCTCTTCCACTCTTAAGTGCTCTGGGTGTCCCTCAGCCATAAAAATCTTCCTCCTCTGGCACCACCTGTGCACATACATTGATCTGCTTTCATCAGCAGATACAGTTAGTCAAGTCCCTGTCTCACCTGCCTTTTGACTGGGTTTTCCCACTGAAACAGATTTACCTTCTGCCTTAGTAGGAGCAAAAGCTCCAGCTATGGTGGGCTCTAAAGGTCAGGAAAACAGAACATATTTGAGAAAAACTACCATGCCTAGTTTTAGCAGATTGGCCTTAACTCCATGGTGATTCATTCCTTTCTCTTTTTGAAACAAGTCAGAAATTGTGGCTGTATAAAAAGGGTGACATTTATGTACTTCATTCAAAACAACTCAAATTTATTCTGATCTACACATGCAACAGGAATGGTGATTACAGTATAAATGTAGTCAATCACTGATTTTTCATGTATAAACCAATAGGTAGGGAAATTTATAGTGGGAATGAAATTTTAATTCTTTGTCTCTTTGTTGTGTAGTAAATTGCTTCATATTTCTCTTTCTTGTCATGTATCCTCCCAAAAAAGAAAGGCTGCAAACAATACAGGAAAATTGATTGCACAAGACACTGCCTTGCCTTTGTGACAAGACGCGTTTTTTTAATACTGACTAACACAATGAGCCCATAGGCTTGGGTTGTCTTTGGGTTATCACTGTGTAATAAAAAGTACATTCATTAATAATCTAAACTGAAATATGCTACAAATATGCTACAATGAAACAGAGCTGGTCTTAAACAGTTAATGTACAGAGGTTAACCAGAAAATTGCCTGGCTTATTTGAGAAATAAACACTCTGGTGTTTCTTCATCCCTTAAGGAGACAAAAACATCACAGGCAGTGGTGTGGTTTATAGGAACCTCTGTACTTCATGCAGTCTCTAAGCTTGCAGGCAGGAGTGAAACATCTTCAAATTCCTTGGCACTAGGACTCCAGAATGGCACCTTCCATTGTAAAATACCAATGTTTTCAATAAATTTCTTCTTGCCATAACATATTCTGATTATGCCATGGTGGAGAGAGGGAAGCACAAGTTTCTGCTCTGTGCTAAACAAAGTTCTCAGTTATTTACAATAACCTGCAGAATTGGGGTAAGGTGTTTGTTACAAAACATCTTCATATTTTAGCAAACAAACCTATGATCACCAGTCTTATACTCTAATATGGGTCAGAAATTAAAAGTCCAGTTTCAGAAATGTTTCAAGAAGTGTTTGATACAAAGACTGTAGGACTAAAGTATCGTTAGTGGATGAGTGAGGAGCTGGGTATCCAGTGATCTGCTCCAAAGGCATCTTGTGCAAATACATTTGTGTGTTTCAGCTTCAGGTTCCCAAAGGACTCAGAGATTTATTGAGGTTCCCACCTTGCACTCTCGAGAGAGCAATAGTACCATCCTTATGCTGGAAATGAGATTAAAACTGCTGAAGGCTTTCAATTTGGTTAACACTGGAATCACAAAAATATGACTTTAAAAATATTTATGAAAGAATAGATTTTCATATTATACATATGACCTTCGTTAGTAGGACTGTTTTGAGGCTTTTTCCCCCCATGCAAACCCACCTCTCTGTTGACCAACTTTTCTTGGCTTGAATAACACCAAGTGACAACCTAGCAGCACTCAGTGTGTTGATGGAGCCAAAAGTTGATCTTTATTTAAGCAGTCTCTGATTTCTTTAATTGTATTATGTTGAACGAACACAAAAATCAACATGAAGGAAGTAGTTTGGTGTATCTTTTTCATGCCCACTTTCAGTGGTCACTCATGATCCCTGATGGTGGGTGGCAAGGCCCACTTTTCACTGTAGGTGGAGAATTAAAGGGTCTTCCTGGCAGATCTCTGACCTTACTGTGGAGTAGGAACCTGCTCTGGCTGAGATGAGCCCAGCCAGATAATGAGCCTTGGCAGGAGTTTTGCCTGCAGCTCACTCTTGTGGTAGCAACTTAAACTGAACTGAGCAAACTGTAGGTTTTGCCAGTTGCCTTTTAAGTTTCTTGGAAAGCCAATACAGCTTTTCCATTTTAACTGAGATGCCTTCTTTAAAGCAGAGCTAAAATTTTGCCATTGCTTTCTTTCTGCGTCTTTTCCAAAGCCTCGACCCACTGAGCTTCAGTACTTTGGGAGCAGCTTCAGTGATCTTAGGCTTAGGCTGCACTGGCTTGAGCTTATGTGCACTTAAGATGTGAGAAGGCAGAAAGCCAGACATGTCCTGGGCTGCAGCCACAGCCCCGTGGGCAGCAGGGCAGGGAGGGGATTCTGCCCCTCTGCCCCGCTCTGCTCAGACCCCACCTGCAGTGCTGCATCCAGCCCTGGGCTCCCAGCACAGCAAGGACATGGAGCTGCTGCAGCCAGCCCAGAGGAGGCACCCAGGGGATCAGAGGGATGGAGTAGCTCCCTTATTAAGACAGGTTGAGAAAGTTGGGGCTGTTCAGCCTGAAGGAAGAGAAGGTTTCATGGAAACCTGAAAGCAGCCTTCAAGTAGCTAAAAGGAGCCTCCAAGAAAGTTGGAGAGAGACTTTTTATAAGACATGGAGTGACAGGATGAGGGAGAATGGCTAACAAACTGACAGAGAGGAGATGAGGATTAGTTATCAGGAAGAAATTCTTTACAGTGAAGATGGTGAGGCACTGGAACGGGATGGCCAGAGAAGCTGTATTCAAGGCCAGGCTGGATGGAGCTCTGAGCAGCCTGGTCTCATGGAAGGTGTCCCTGTCTGTGGCACAGGGCTTGGAACCAAGTGACCTTGAAGGTCTCTTCCAGACCATGCCACCCTATGGTTCCATGGATCTGTTTGCTAATTTACACTGTAATCCATTTCTCAGACCCAAGATATATAAGTAGTCCGAGCTTGGATGTACAGTCAGGATGATCTCAAATAACTTACCTTGCTGTTAAATGGCACCACAGTTGTTTTAGAAAAGGGTCACACACAAGTCGGGGAAGGAACAAGAAGGGGATGACTGGAAATAAGGCCACTACCACCACTGAGTTTTAGTTTGCACCAACAGAGCTGTTGAGACTGTAGCTTCAACCTGCAGTTTCACAAAAAGTGAATGAAGAATTGAAGGAAAAGGTTCTCCTCCCCTGCCTTTTTACCAGCAGTTTCAGTTCATGGAAGAATGGACTTGAGATGGGAAGAGGACTACTTTATAAATGAGAGCATAGTTTTTTATTTTTAGGACAGAATGTTAGTGAACTGTGACTCTACTTCTATTACTTAAGTAATAAATATTGCAGATTGCAGGGACTATGAGCAGATCTCATGGCGGAAAACAAAACTTCCCAGTAGATTCTGAAATTTTAATGTTGGGATTCATCTTGTTCTTCTAAACAGGGGTATTAGAAGGTCAAGCTTTAAGGAACCATTGCTATTTCAAGTCGCCTTTTCCCTTGTTTTTAATGTTGTCTCATTGGGAGTATTACCTTAAGTTTTTTACTTCAGAAAACTCTTGACATGTATTTTTCCGGTGTGTTCTATATGTGCACATAATCTTTAGCCTTTTTTAGGAGCTTGGTAGTTCGGTTTTGGTAGTTTCAGTTGGACCCATGACCTCATATTCTCATGAAGAGTGAGCTAGTGCACAATTTCATGTTCCTTTAACACTCCCTTAGAAAACGTCTCTTCCTAGATTTTTTTTTAATTTGAATAAAAATGAGATATCAAACTGCCTGTTTTTAGAGTAGCTGCCTGAACTGCTTTCAATACTTGTCTGTCATAACTGGGTCTCTGTAAGTCAGAGAATTAACCATTTCAGGTGTTTGCAGGAGATGGTGTGCAGCAGTGCGAGGGGAGATTGTTCATCTGTGCTTGAAGGGATCTCTGTCAATTATTAACTGATAGGATCTTGGGTCCTGTCTTACTCCTCTCTGTCAACTAGCCTTGCATTTATTTTCTGCATTCAGATTAATGACAGAAATATCAACAATCTAACAGCACTTCGGCTTTTGAAATGCTGTGATGGTTTCTTCCATCACATTTAGATTTCAGTAACTTGGAAGAGCTTACAGTTAGTGAAGCTTAAAAATTCACAGTTTTTGTTTCAGAAATAAGGTGACAGCTTTAAATTTTAATTGCTGAAGTGTGGAATGCTATCAAGGTATTTATGCAACAGAAGCTCAAACCTAGTGTAGCATAAATGAACACAGGAAAAAATAAGTTTTAATGGATCCTCAAGGCCAATCTAAAGCTGGTTTTGAAGTGAGTGAAATGATACCCATTGGTTTCAGTGAGCTTTGGATCAGACTTCATGTGCAATGACCTAACCTAGTAATTAAATAATTTGTATTAACACGGAAAAGACAAAATTGTATGGTTTAAAAAGACATTATGAAGAGATTGGTGGGGAGGGATGGAGTTACCTGTCCTCTGAGGAGCACAGTAGTTACCTTGAAGCAGGTGGTATGTGGATGTCACATCTGATGATTTTATTTCTTCACTTCAGCTACATGGAAGCCTTGCTCTACCTTATTTATGCTTACCAGAATAACAAAGAACTCCTGTCCAAAGGCCCATACAGAGGGCACGACGAAGAGCTGATCTCTCACTACAGACGAGAGTGTTTGCTAGTAAGTGAAGGGGGAAGTACATGTCTCAAAAAGTTGCGTTTCCTGCATGGCTTTAATAAAATTAAATAGTGGAATAAGTGTTGCCACATGTACAACAAACCCGAAATCTCTCTCCATTAGCAATTTAATACCGTGGCTTGTGTAAGGGAAAAAAAAAATTAAAAAACCAACATTATTGCCCTCCCCCCTCTTTTTTAATAGCCACTCATTTTGTTTATGATTATAAATAGCGTGCTCAGTGCTGTCATGTCTGGGCTAGGGAGGAGCAATGGTTGATAGTGTTGGTGAACAGACTCATCCTTTTGCCATAGTTTAATGGGGAGACAAATACTGGGAAAGGCATCAGCAATGGTGCCTTGCCTGAAAAAAGGGATTTTTTTCCTTGTTATGTCACTTTTAACAATAGTGAAAAAAATAAAAGCAGGTGATAAAATCTCAGTCTTAACCAAACAGCTGCAAAATTGGAATTGGCAGGTATGAAATAAAGTGGCTTGAGGAACAGCACAAGTTCAAGTGGGTTAGTAAAGCATATTCATCATTGCTGTAAATGTTAAAACGCAGCTGGGGTTAATACAAATTGCCAGGTAATTCTGTAATAAGACTGTGCTTTAAAACAAACTGATAAAACTGATGGGTGGTAGAATGTGAAATGCTGTGTACTTAAAGGCTTTCCTTTTTTGTGGTGGCTTCTGAAGAAACTAAATGAACATGCTGCAGCACTGTTTGAGTCGGGAGATGATCAGGAAGTAAATAATGGCCTGATCATTATGAACGAGCTTATTGTCCCATGTTTGCCATTACTACTGGTGGATGAAATGGAAGAGAAAGATATTGTTGCTGTGGAAGATATGAGAAACCGTTGGTGTTCCTATCTTGGACAAGAAATGGAACGTAAGTCATTTATTCATTAAGGTAAAAGGCCCTTGTGCACCGTTTTTATAAGTATGATATTTTCAGTGTCTCAGATTGAGCCTGTATCTTTTGTGCATTGGTGATATTTTTAAGCTACCCTCACTTTTGAATAATCTTGTACCCATTTAAATAAAAAGTTTTTCCATATGTTGCACTGGGGTATCAGGCCATAAAGAAAACGTACTTTATGAATGGAAAAACATTTGTGTGGTTAGGCCATCGAAAGGGGCGTTTAAATCAACATCTTACCAGGAATTAGTACATCCTAGCTACTGCTGCTAGGTCGAAAGAATCTGAATTATTTCAAGTGAAACTCCTCCTCTTTCTAACCACCAATAAAAAAAGTCAACATTGAGCAGAAAAAGGACAATTCCACTTGCGGACATAAATGCTTATGTTTGTTTTTCTGGTTTGATTTGCAGCCAACTTACAAGAAAAGCTGACAGATTTCCTGCCAAAACTGCTAGATTGTTCTACAGAGATTAAAGGTTTCAATGACCCGCCAAAGTTACCCTCCTACTCCACACACGAACTGTGTGAAAGATACGCCCGAATCATGTTGTCACTCAGTCGAACTCCAGCCGATGGAAGATAAATTCTGCAGACCTTCCTAAGCACATTGTATAAACTTTTTTAGTTCTTAAACCTTGCCTTCCTGTCACAGGGTTTGCTTGTTGCTGCTATAGTTTTTAACTTTTTTATTTTAATAACTGCAAAAGAGAAATGACTGTACAAACTTTAGCCAGACTGCAAACGATTAAAGCTGAGAATCGCATGGCGCTCAGTCGTTTCAACCAGAATTGATGCAACATGCAAGTCTGATCATTATGGCAAAACTGCTTTTTTGCCATTTATCTGTTACAGTATTACTTTGCTTTTATCTTAAGATCCTTTACTTTATCAACAGCTGTCTGGATCATTTTGTGACTGCAACTACTTTAAGTGTCCAGTGCTGTGTAAATACATGGTACTTGGTAGCTTGTAAATGAAAAGAAAGAATAAAGTTTTATTTATGGCTACTTCTGTGTTTGCAAACAGATACCTTGTATATTATTGTAAAATACGGGTATTTTTAGAAGAGATACAGTTTATTGATGGCTTACTCAATTTTATAGACAAGGTTCTTCAGGATTTATGGCCAGTTTCCTTTCAGGTAGTCGGAGATTACTGTATGTGAATATATTGAAAAACTGTCACAGTATTATACACAATGGTGTTTTGTATATTCTTCACTGGTCTGTATGATACTGCACCTGAGCACTTTAGTGTGCGTGTGAATGGCCATGCCAAGTCTTTTCTAATAGTAGGGACTGGCTTCTGAAGCAAAACAATAAGAGCACCTTCCTTCTATTCTTAGAAAGAAATAAAGTAAAAAAATTTAAAGTATTTTCAGTATAAATATATTACACTCCCTGAGCAAAAATTCTGAAAGTTGATTTAAGTAGAGAAAATTAAGGTTTTTAAAAATTGAATTTATGAAGCCTAAAGATTAATCCATTTTTAATTGGTGTTTTAGTCATGTAAGTGACCAGAAATAAAACCTTAACACTAATTCTTTACTTGAAATGGGTTGCTACTGTTGCAACAGAATATCTCAGAAATCTTTTATCTGTCCTAATTAAATTTCTGTTGGAAGTAAAAGAATATATCTATTTGGCTTGTTTTGTAGAACTGAAATACTGTCTAGTTTTAATGAAGAAACTTAATTATTTTGTGGAAAAAGAAATTTAATGCGTCCTTAGGTAATCCTGTTACCTGACACTATTTTGATTCCTTCTCTTTTTAGAGAACGTTTTGTGTTAGACCAGTAAAAAATGTGAATATTTATTTGTATGTTTTTATTGGAGCGACAACTTTTCCTTGCAGGCTTTCAAGTGATGTTTGAATATCTACTGATAAAAGGCCACAGAAGGAAGGGAAGGAGTGAAGTTCAGACCAGCTAGAAATGCAGTGGGCAGAAATGCAGGCATCTCATACGCAAGAAGCAGCAGAGTTCAGTCTTAGCACGTGTCAGTCTGAGAAGTTGTTTACTCTGGAGAGACACTGGATCACAATGTACAGGGAATAGAACATGGCCTTCAATTCATAATCTGTTCAGGGCTGTTCTCCACTCCTCTCTTTAGTATTGCAGTGCTTCATGCTTTTTCGAACTACCCATTTATTTTATCAAGTTCTTTTTTAAATAGCATGTTGACCTTTTACAAGTGAAATACTGCTCAGGAGCCTTTTTTTAGGTCTGAGACTGTTGATGCGTGAAATATCGCTCCTCAAGAAAAAAGGTATGCTTACTATGAAATGGGAGAGGATACATTTTAAAAGCTTTCACATTTTGTACCTACCTGTTCCACTTTGGTTTGGAACTCAAGAACATGCCTACTTAACGCTATTTTTAAATAAGATTTTGAACAGATCAAACTTCTTATTTTTTCAGTAATACTAGAAAGAATTACATTTGAAAGAGTAACTATTTCATTATGGGTAGCAGTTTTTTAGTCTGAGTGTGGTGTTCATGGAAGCTTTTAAGGAGAGCTCCCCTCTTACCCTGAAGGAGCAAGTTATCCTCATCTGTTTAATCTTTCATGACAAACACAGGGGCAAAGGCACTCTTTCTAAATTAAAAAGAGAAATTATTTCATTTGTGAAGAATACTTAAAATATTTAAATTAAAAGGAAGCAAGGAAGGATGAGATTTGTTCTTTGTTTTGTGTTTGTTTTGTTTTCAGTTTCTGAAAGTGTGAAAATTATCCACTGAAGTTCATAGTACTGAAGATAAATGTGTATTCCTTTGCAAAGACAAATTCTTGAGTTGAATTGCAAAGGTAGAAGAGCAGAAACAAAGTATTGGAGTTCAAGCCTTCAGCAAAATAATTAATCATTAATTTTGTCTTAAAAGCCTTGCTTTTCTCATTGCAATAAGGTAGCTGATAGCTTGGATACACAATGCCCAGCACAAAACCTCTACAAGTAACTGTGAGGTAGTAAAGTCTGTTTGGGTACCGATAATCTGTGACTGAATTGGGTAAGGAGATGTGGTCTCTTCAGTACGGGATTATGAAGGTTGTTATCAGGGTTTTTTGGTTTTTTTTGGTTAGTAGAACACAAATGGTAAAGAAATTTAATCAAAATTCATTTACAACATCAACTGCACTATCAAGTAAATGGTGGTTTTTTTTTCCATATGTTGCTTCATAGTGAGAAAGACCTTGAAGTTACCCTTTTCCAGTTAATTGCTTTTTTATCCTTTCCAAATAAGTTTTCACCTTAGCTGCCTGATCCTATTGCTGTACTTGAAGTCGTATTTTGGTAGTATCAGGAATCCTGTTGTTCCTAGTTCAGGCTCCCACAGCAGGTCGGGTAGCCTCAGCCTAGCAGAAGAACGTGAGCAGCAGCAAAAGTGAGCTGAGCAAGCGAAGAGGATGGATGGAGTCAATTTGCACTTAAGATGTTTGGAATCACACCCGACACAAAGACCTAACCTTCACTATTGAGTCAGCTTTGCCTTGTGGACAGTCTGTGCTTGACTGCAGGGAACAGGTTTGCTCCAGAAAACCTGAAGTATGAGCAGAGCCAAAAGCACGTGCTTTGTGTTCAAGCATTATATAATACCAAATTTTGATCATATCTGTATTAAGTATCTTTAAGGTTATTTTTAGGCTAATCCCATGAAGATTGCAGCTCCAGAAAGGAGCTGGACACCACCAGTAGCACACAGGAGACAGTCAGATACTGTCCAACAAGCATAAAAATTTATAAAGGGTGACAGTGGTTGCTGTCCATATTCTTCATTATGTCACATTTTCCTCTCTCAAGCTCCAGTGAGTCCTAATGTCTGTGGGAGGCCTTATATAAGCACAAGGTAAAGAATTTTGGTGGAACAATGCACCACTCTAAGTCTGCAATGAGTCACCTCATCTGTGCAGCATTTTTCAACATAAGTGTGTTGAAAAATGAATTTTTTTTTTTTAAAAAAAACATTCTAGATTTGAGTCTGGAAGAAGGCAAGAGTATCAGTCTTGGCAGTGAGAGGGAAGTGGTTACATCTTTCCATTTCTTGTTTCTGGAGAGGACATTGCTACAGATATGAAAATGCTCTTATCTAAAGAGGTCTTTTTGCAAAATACAGTACATAGAATTCCAAAGAGGAGTGATACAAGAGAAACAAAATTATTTTTCATGTGACTGAGATCCAGTTTTTCATTGTGTACTGTGTCCTTGAAGATCTCTTGAAAGTCCAGGCTTGGTGGATAAGCTGTTAACTGGCACCACTCTTGACTTCTAAAGAGCATCTTTCTTTAAAGGCAAATGAACAGTATCCATGTTCTCCTAAGTGAGTTCCTATCCGTAGAACATTTCTGCTTGGTTCAGCACTTCTGTTTCAGTTCTGATCTGTATGGAAGCAAGGCCCTCATTTGCAGACACGGCTGTTTCTGTCACACACGTGTGCTCCAGCTGTATTGTCTCACCCTTAAAATCTTGAACTTGGCTATGGAATTTTCTTGATCATGAATTTCAGATCTTCACTGTAAGTAGTAGGAAGAGACTTGAAGGACTGATGAGTGAACAGATTATTTGTCATTTCATCTTCCTTCTGTAAGATGTAATCCTCAACAAGGGACTCAGAAAGGGTTCTTGAGGCAGCACTTTGAAAGAACAGCTCTATTTGCTTTCTTGTGGCTGGGATCAAACCCCCTTCTGACACACGCACAGTGAGAAAAGGCTTGTTTTCAGGGTGATGGTCACAGGATGGATTCATTATGAGTGTTAGGATATGGTCATCTTTCATTGCTTTCTTCATACTTAAACTGAAGTACCTCTCAAATAAAGTTTTGGCTCTGTGGTTCTTTTCATTCACTCTCACTGTTTATTTTCCCCTCCCCTGTGGTTTGCCATTGAAGTTACTTGAATAAGCATTTTCCAGGTTTTGTCTTTGTAGTTGGTTCTTTGTAGTACTCTTTGATTCACTGTTAGCTGAACTGAGCACTTTAGAAGATTGAAGAGTGTCTTGTGCACTGTATCTCAGCTCTGTCCAGATCTATGAAATTTGTAGAGGGTTCCTCACGTCCAATAATTTTACTTTAGTTTAGCCTGTTCCTGATATTTTGTCTTGAATTATTAAAACTGCAGTCAAACATAACTTCTGTCAAAAAGCAACTTTCCCTGCTGTGCTGATTTTAATTGACAATTGCAATTTTTACCCATGTCTGTGTTCTGTGGCTGGCTGTTTCCTATCAGTGTTCAGGTTGTTCATTATCTGTGTTAAAGTTTCCTGGACCCATATGTACTTTGTGGATGTACAGGCAATACAGGAAGGGCAGTAATTCCTGTAGATATTCTTCAAGAAACAAAATTTGCATTTTGTCTGTGACCTTTAATCTGTAACAGTAAAACTTCCAGTTAAATGTGGACTAAGGGCTTGGGAAACTTGTGGGAGTTTGGGATGGGGTTACTTTTTAAAATTATCAATGATACAGGATCATGAGATGGAGGAAATTGCTATGTAAACATAGTAAACTTTTTTGTTGATTAAGAAAAAAAAAATTGAAATCAGTTTTAAGCAAAGAAGGCCAGTGTTACATAATAAAATTTCAAGAAAACTTCCTGTGTGAAACTGAAAAACTTGTAGCTTTTAATAGCTCAAGGTAACACATTCTTGTAATCTGCTTATGAAGCTCTTTTGTTTGGAAAGTAAAAAACCAAAATACAAGCCGTCCCCTCAAAATCAACTCCCCATTCCTCCAGGAAGATATTAATATTCCGAGAAATCCAAGTTTGGATGAGTTTGGATGTTCAAAAAACTTATTTCCTCCCTCCCTTGCTCAGTCGGTTTGAACAAGTACATTATGTTTTGAAATGCAAATAATTTCTCTTTGAATTTGTGAAGGAAAATTCATCATCTCCAATACTTTTAAATGTAAGATTAAGACCTGTCATTGTGTTTGGCACTGGTACTTGTTCCACTCTCAGCTCATGGTGATTTGTAGTTATGTGCTTGTTACAAGATGCTTGAACAGATGATTGG